GACGCCAACTGCGAACGCATCTCCTGCACATGCTCTTGCAGAGAGCGTTTCGCCTGTCGTGCTCCAAAGAAGCGCGCCATACGCAACACTTCATTGTTAAGCGGCTGATACATGGCGCGAATCTTTGCCTTAAAGATCGCCCATGATGGAAATGCATCAGCATTTGCCATCAGAGCAGAGTATGCCCACTCTGACGCTTTGCCACGCGAATTCGACATGGCATACGACACCATCCTGGTGTCGTCTTCGATGAGCTGCGCCACTCCACATTGCTCCACTGCTAATAGCCAGTTAACAATCGTGTGAGGGCTAGTTCCATCGAACCTCGGAGGGTCCATTCGAATGGGCCTCGGTTGAGCAGGCCGGGCAGAGAGCGTCTCAAGCGTTCTGTTGAGCGCCTCATTACGTGCCTGCTCAAGCCTAAGCTCATCCTGAGTCTTAGTGATGGGCTCAGCGGTGGCTTGGCTGTTTACCTAGGACGCGTTTTTACGCTGTCCGAGCACAAACGCCTCGAAATTGCTCCAACTGAGCAACATGTTGATCAGGAGGACGATGCAAGAGGTTGACCAGGGCTTGTTCACCAAGTCCCTGCGCCATATGCTCTGCCAACTCCCTATGATGTTGGGAGAGGTGAGGGAAATATAAATTTTACTACTGATTGGTTAATATATAATGATGGGTGCCATCTCTATAGATGCGCATCCCAACGTGCGAGCTTAAATATATCTAAGCTCGCTCAATGACGTAACTGACTGACGTCACTTGATGACGTCTAGTCCCAGCTGGGCGTCATCCCCATCAATGTGAATACACCTAGTGTATATCACATACGCAAGGGTGTGACACATGGTGTGTCTCACCCGAGCGACAGGTCTTAAGTACTTACGTACCTTTTGAGACCTGCCCGTTAAGTATCGCATACTTAACGGGTATGTGTAACGTTGAGCCCGTTACACAGTCGATGAGCATTGCTACTCAAATAAGCCATACGATATAAACCTATAGATTAACTTTAATACGTGCTATGACAGGTTTACAACCAATACAAATTTAGCTGTTGATAAGCTTACAGTAGACAGCACATTCCTTGACTTTTCAGGGCAGATGCGGCAGTTGAGACGCTGATTCCCATAGCTGAGATCGTCACTAACATAATCACTAGTTCCCTGTCGAAATCGTTCTGTCATCCGATCATCAAAAAGTAACGTGGTTCACACTATTTCTGCATTGATCCTTACATTGTAATCCTCATTTCTTTTCCTCCAATCATCTATCTTTGCTCTACTTGCGCTACTAAAGGAATGAGCGGACTGGAGAGCAAAGTGACGTCGCTAGAAGAGACGACAGAGGCCTCAGAGGTGCGTGTCAAGACGCTAGAAACAAAGATTGCTGTACTTTCTCTTTTCTCTGTTGAAATGTGGCCCGCCGTGCGGATCCGCAAGACGTTCATGGACTTTTTCAAGTCACAGACGAAACTGCCCCATACATTCTACAAGTCATGTCCCGTCGTGCCATTGGACGACCCGACGTTGTTGTTTATTAATGCGGGTATGAACCAGTACAAACCCATTTTTCTGGGCCAAGTGGACCCGTCACATCCCATGGCGAAGCTCGAGCGAGCTTGCAACTCGCAGAAATGCATTCGTGCTGGTGGAAAACACAACGATCTGGATGACGTGGGCAAGGACGTGTATCATCATACATTCTTTGAGATGTTGGGCAACTGGAGCTTTGGTAACTATTTCAAGAAGGAGACAGTGCACATGAGCTTTACGCTCTTGACGGAAGTGTACGGAATTGACAAGAATCGACTGTACGCCACGTACTTTGGTGGAGACGAGAAGCAAGGCCTTTTGTCGGACGAAGAGACGCGTCTCATTTGGCTTGACTACTTGCCTCCTGAGAGAGTGCTACCTTTTGACTGCAAGGACAATTTCTGGGAGATGGGAGATGTTGGCCCGTGCGGACCTTGCACGGAGATCCACTATGATAGAATTGGTAACAGGGATGCTGCTAGTCTGGTAAATGCAGACGTGCCTGATGTGATCGAGATCTGGAACAATGTGTTTATCCAGTATAACCGTGAACAGGATGGTAAACTTGTGCAGCTCCCACACAAGCACGTGGATACAGGCATGGGATTTGAACGTCTTGCGTCGATTTTGCAAGGTAAAGATTCAAACTACGATACGGACGTGTTTACTCCGCTCTTTGCAGCTATTCAGAAGTCAACAAACGCGGCGCCGTACACGGGCAAGTTGGGCGAAGAAGACCTGGACAAGAAGGACATGGCCTATCGTGTTGTGGCCGACCATGTGCGAACGCTGACGTTTGCTATTACGGACGGTGCAGTGCCTAGCAATGACGGGCGTGGATATGTGCTGCGTCGTATCCTACGTCGTGCAGTGCGTTACGGGCAGCAGTTCCTGAACGCGCCGAGTGGCTTCCTCTCGGAGTTGGTGCCGGTTGTGGTAGACATGCTGGGAGAAGCTTACCCGGAGCTTATTCAGAAGCAGAAGGAAGTGGAGGAGATCATTTTGGACGAGGAGAAGTCGTTCGGTCGCACTTTGAACAAGGGCATTGAGCGTTTCAAGAAGATTGCGCAGGTTATCCGTGAGACTAACGCGGGTTCGGATGAGGCCCTCGTCGTGCCTGGCGAGGACGCGTTCTTTCTGTACGACTCAATGGGTTTCCCTATCGATCTGACGGAGATTATGGCTGAGGAGGAGGGCATGACGGTGGACATTAAGGGCTACGAAGAGTGCATGCGTCTGCAGAGCGAGCGATCCAAGATGGACCGTAGGAAGGGTGGTTGCAATGGTGCGCGTCCGCTTGTCCTAGAGGCCCGTGAGACCAGCACACTTGCTAGTAAGCATATCGGTGCCACGGATGACATGGCCAAGTATGACTGGAATGTCAAGACGCCAGCTAAGGTAGTAGCTATCTTTACGACAACAGAATCCAGCTCGGACTTTGTAGAGGAGGTGAAGGCTGGTGACTTTGAACGTGTAGGTGTCATTCTGGACAAGACTTCGTTCTACGCGCAGGCTGGTGGTCAGATTTATGACACGGGTGTAGTGGGAGGTACCAGCTTCAAGCTGGATGTGGACTCGGTGGAGTCGTACGCTGGATACGTGATGCACATGGGACCCATCACTTCCGGATCGATCAAGGTTGGCGACGCCGTGGAATGTCAGGTGGACTATGTCCGCCGTGCCAAGGTCGCTCCTAACCACACCATGACGCACGTGCTTAACTTTGCGCTGCGTAAGGTGCTGGGTACGACCGTGGATCAACGTGGATCGCTAGTGGACGAATCGCGTCTGCGTTTTGACTTCACAAATAGCAAGGCGCTGAAGGCTAACCAGCTTGCGGACGTGGAGGCTATTTGCAATGATATCATCAAGCAGCAGCTCGAGGTGTACACACAGGACTCCGCACAGGCTGAAGCCAAGCGTATTCAAGGTTTGCGCGCCGTGTTCGGTGAGACGTACCCGGACTTTGTCCGCGTTGTTTCGATCGGGCAGCCAATCGCTCCTATGCTCGAGGACCCGGAAAACAGCAACTGGAGCAATTATTCGGTGGAGTTCTGCGGTGGCACCCACCTGAAGAATACTAAGGAGGCCAAGAAATTTGTTTTGTACGAGGAGGGTGCCATTGCGAAGGGTATCCGTCGTGTATCAGCCTACACGTGCGACCTCGCCGTTGAGGCTGAGGCGCGTGGTACCAAGTTGCAAGCTGATCTTGATGCTATTGCCAAGCTGGACGGCATCGAGCTCGTGGAGCACGTGTCTTCATTCAAGCCGGTATTGGACCAGGCCTTGATCTCGCTACCGCTGAAGGACAAGCTTCGGAAGCAGGTGGACAGTCTCGTGAGCCGTGTCAAAAAGATTAAGAAAGAAGCTGCGGCTGCTCGTGCTGCGAACGGTGTCCGTGACGCTACTGCCGAGGCCACGAAGGCTAAGGAGGCTGGCCAAGAGATTGTTGTGGTGAAGTTCGACGTTGGCACGGACTCAAAACTCGGCCGGGAGATGTTGGAGGCCATGAGCACAGTCATTCCGACGGGCAGCTTCATGATCTTCAGTACGGACTCGGACGCGAACAAGACGGCAGCCTTCACGCAGGTGAGTCAGCAGCACACTGACTCGAAACAGCTAGACGCGCGTAAGTGGGTGAACCACGCCATGGTCGTGATGGAAGGCAAGGGTGGCGGCAAGGACGCGCTAAATGCTACGGGTCAGGCCAAGACTATGGAAAAGGTGGACGAGGCTATGGCACTCGCCAAGGCTTTCATTCAGTAAGTGCGCGACGTCATTACGCTCGTTTGCTACGACTGTCCAGTTGGTCCATGGATTTCTCCTTTTTCCTGATTACAATGTTAGCTAGACTTTGAATAATAGCATGATCGGTCATGGTTTCTTACTACGCATCTTCGAGAACTCCGATGTTCGTCTCCAAAGGTGCTTAAGTATTTGCAAACCAACAAACTAAGCTACAATTAACAAGCGTGCAGGCGCTGCGTAGCCCTTCTGCTGCGGCTAGGCTTCTACTTTTATTGTATCAATCACATGACGCAGACGCTTTCAGCGATGTCAACGTCGTGTTTGGTGATCGTAACCGTAAGAGGCATCATCTCTATTTGACGAGATCACGGACAAAGAGCATCTAGAAATCAACTTTAGCGACGACAACTCAATGCAATTGCGGTATTGTGCTTGCAGTGGTCGTCTTCCGACGATTCTGCGCTTCATGAATCATCCGAAGAAGTTGATGGATCCGAACAAACCAGCTCTTCATGCTCGTGATTTACTAAGTCCTGAGCAGCATCCTCTACCTTGCTTCTAAAAGACGTTATACAACGTTGCCCTTTTGTACGTCTTCACTTGCATCATGCAATACACCTCTACCTTCAGCATTCTATCGTCGACGAGCAGCAATAGGGGCTGCGCTTGGCGTCTCGCGGTCGCTTGAAAGGTGGTCGAAACCTTGGTAGATCTGGCTCAACGTATGCTAGAATCCGATCGGGTATCCCCTGTCATACGTGACGGCTGCGTTGAATTACCAGAGCGGCCGTAAAGCTGACGTGCTGGAAACAGCGTGTTCGCATCCTCGCTATCACCGGTCGATGTCGAGAGCACATTGGCGTCGGGAGCAGTGTGTAACATCGAAGATTCAACCGATTGATAGCGAAATACCTGGCCATCGTTGCTACCGGAACTGCTCGCACGGCTAAGCTCATCGGATGACATCAATTGAGGAAGACCATCGTCGACGCGAACAGCCTGCGCCTTTTGCTGCTGATGTGCATCAAAAGATGCAGAGAAGTTTAGTTGAAAATTATCCAGGGTAGCATCGCTGTCACAGCTCTGCCTTGGCGTGCTCGATGGCGTCGTGGTAATAGGTACATTGGTTGTTGAGACGTTCTGCTGCACAACCTGTAGCTGCTCCGTCGTTCGAAAACGATCAGGAATATAAGCAGGTGGCGTATTCATTTTGCGTTGCTGCGACATTGCGACCTCTGGACTGTCGCTGGCGCGAACGGGGCTCGACGTTGCAAGGTCTGAAGCAGGCACGGCGGTAGCTGAAGACAGCGGGGTGGCAGGCAGCGTCACCGGATCCAAGCTCGTTCTGCAAATACTGCTACCGCAAGCGCTACTGCTGGGAAAAGAAGAAAACGAAACCCTGCCGGATGTTTGCAAATGACTTTTCAAAACGTCATCACCGCTCGTCTGCATCGTTTCACTGTTGGCTGGCAGCACCACCGACATCGGAATAACAGGCGACGCGAAGGTAGTCGTTTGATCGTGTTCCACTATACCTTGCACTCTAGGACGAGCAGTTTCGTCGTCCCGCTGGGCTCCTGCAAGGATCGCTCCTTTCACAATAGTAGAGCCGAGATTAGCGTCGGTATCAAAGCGGTCATCGGATCGGGATGTGGACTCCGACGTCGGAGAACTCATGTCGCTTGCCTCCTTCTGGGCATCCAGTACCACATGGTTCGCGGAATCGTCACGGTAGTTCAATGGCCGTTGGCACTCCTCCACGTCGTCAGCGCCTAAAGTATCTTCGCGGCTATTTGATCGTATATGTTTCGCCAAAGCTGGTGTTTTACCACACTTGCTATTAGGCGATGTTGCCGTACGCTCATGTGGGGGACATACTCCATTAGCTTGGTCAGCAGTGCTTGAGATCCCGCTGGGTGTGTGGGGGACAGCGCACCTACCGTCCTTCAGTTGAGACAAGAAAATGCCGTCTTGATCCTCCACGTGGTTATTGCGCCCAGGAACCGTATTCTTTCTTGCAAAAAAGTCTGCTTCAGTATCGCCCTCACGCTGCTTGTCGTCAGTGACTTGCATTTTGCTCTGCTTCGGCGGTACGTGCATTTGGTTATGTTCGTTATCAGCAAAGCCCTTCACTTTCGAACGTTGTAGCTGGTGGTCGTAATCAAGCAGATCTCTCGCGACTGTTGTCGCTTCTTTGATCGTATTAGGTTTCACTTCTTCCGTCGTTTTGACTTCTGCTAGAGCATGGTCCCAAGATAGCGAACCTATCGACATGTCTGCAATGGACGGGCGCTCTAGCGTCTTGCGGGTTGCAATGTGGGCAGACGGAGACGGAGCTGGCAACGCCGGGCTTCCTGCAAATTCTTGTGCCTTTGTCTCCTCGGCATTATCGTCGATTGGTTTATAAGGTGGTGGTGTCGTTAACGAAAGCGTGTCCATTCCACTTGCACAACGTTCTTCTTCGTCATCCGATGCACCCATCGACGTCTCTGAATCTTCATCATTCTCGTGGATCCACGCTGCTTTCTTGCCGCTTTCACGCGACGCACCGCGTTCCTGCATACCTGTCGTATTTAACGGCGCCAATTTTGGCAGCAAACGCTCTACACCCTCCTCATGATATTGCTGTTCAGGAATTGGCGGAGCGACGGCAAGCTTGAATGAGTCCTCGTACGTATCAATGTCAATCGAGCTGGTAGAAGAATCCGAGCTTGTCGACTCACGACCCTGCTGGATTTCGTGTCCGCGCAGATGCAAATGTTTACCTTCATTTCCACCATCTCGAGGTGCATTCGGGTGCATTATCTCTGTACTCATGCTGCTGAGCTCTATCGGAAAAGTAGGCGTAGTCAGCGCGCTCAAATCCAACGGTGGAACATCCAGGTCGTCTAGCGTAGAGCCGTATGGGCCAAAATCGGGAGGAATTACCGGGTGGTCGTCTAATGTCGCGCCATACGCTCCAAAGTCGCTTGGTGGAGCCTGACACATGGGCGGAGGCATATCAAATCCATGCTTATCGCAACTTGCTTGCTGCAGCGCGGACATGTAGGCATCAGGCGTGCAATGTTGGGTGCCGGATCGGGTGATGAACTCGTCTTCGCGCTGGAGTTGCTTTAGTCTTTCCCGACTGCTTAGCTCCTGGAGCCGACTGAAGTTGCTCACATTGCCACTGCCTGCCCCCCCTAGCATGTCACTACTACTGCTGCGTGACAACCCATGATGAGGACGTTGCGAGGTATTGATGGCTGAACATTCAAAAATGGAGACCGAGAGTGGCCCCGGCATTTGCAACGTGTAGCGGTCTTCACCTCTAGTGATGGAATCACCGAGTGACAGACTCTGGCTCGGTCGAAAGTCTGACGATTGCATGCGCTGGCTTCCACGGCGGGAGTGCGAATGCCCGTAATCCTGCTGCTGATAGTGCCGCGATCGCTGATACAGCTCCGCATCCGGTTCCCCCCGCGAATAATGCCGCGATCTGGAATTTACACCATACCCCGGAATCGGCAATGTGCTGGACATGGGGTGACTCGATGGCTTTTCATGGCGCATGGACTGCAAATAGATCTTCGGCACGTCCTCTTCACGGTGGCCATGTTGTCCACTTACCCGCGATGTCATATACGATGCACGGCAGTCATCATCCTTGTAGCCCAAGAAACTCATCGAAATGGTCGACGAGTGAGGAGGTTCCACTAGCGCTGACGTCGGTTTGGGAGCGTTCGTGATCACCTGAAAGCAGTGCATACAAATACGCAACTTGCGCACGTCGTCTCTTCCATTTGTCGCCGCAAAGTTGTAGCTCTCAATCGGAAACTCTTTACTGCACGCGGCACAGACGACTTCGCCACATTTCCTGCAGTTCATCTTCCTAAGCAGTAAAAGGGAAAAGGAATCCCGACATACAGCACATTTGGCTCGATGCCTTCTTGGAACAAGCTCGAGATCACTCAGATATCTCTGTTCATTAAGACGTTTGCTCCGGAGCATATTACGAACCTGTGCGACAAACAGCACTCTGGCTCGCAGCAAACTCATCGGCACCGATGTATGGTCCTTCAAATTAAGTTGGACCAAGTAAATGACGTCCAAATGTCCAGGTCGTTCTTCACTTTCCACGACAACAAGTCCAGAATTATACATACTGCCTCGTACGAACCCAAACTCCTTTTTCAGATCTTCACAACCTGGTAATTTGATCGAATGTTGTCCTAAGACCCACCCTTTCCGTCCTTTAGCATCAATAAACTTGTCTTGACACTCCAAGTAGCAAAAATCTCGATGAGGAACACCATGAGGCATCTGGATGACCATCCACTTGGCTGTCACTTGATGCAGCGGTTTCTCCTTTGTCCGTCGTGCTAAAGTGTGCAAAATAACACCATCGTAAAACCACTCACGATGAGCTTGTGCAAACTCCTTCATCTGTTTTGTTGAGCCTAATTCAAAGAGAGAAGCCACTTCTTTTATCGTGCCTGGAACACTTGTTACCCCGCACATAATAGCGCCGGAAAGTGCCGTACCAGTGGCATTTGAACGCGGAGAACCGGCATAGATTTGGACACCATTATGTTTCTCCATGTGACGCCAGATCATGGGACCACCAATGCTCCGGGCACGTTCAACAAGCTCGAGAGCTGCTTCACATGATTTACGGACAAAATAAGCGCGTTCTCTTGACGAAAAAGTCGGTAATGTAAAGTAATTTTCACGTAAAGGGGTCCAGGCACGAGATGAAGATCGAGGAGACTCATTATGGGACGCATGACGCCCAGCCAAACGCGACGACGAGAGCATAGTTGACTTGGGACAAGAATGATGGTCTTTCACTTATGATGTTGAGGGAAAAAGTAGAAACGAAAAGCGAGACAAAAAGAGATGGGACTATAATCTCAAAAGAGCTCATACAAACAAAAAAAGGGGAAGTTGGGACAAATGAAGTCGGACACAGGCTGACGTACGATCGTCACGACAAGACGAGCAAGTTGCAGTTTGGGAGTCCTGAGTCGCAAAAAACCTTACGCTATTGTCTATATGATGAGGGTGCATGATACTATGATTATTCTATGCTTACAAACACAACGTCATCTAGATTGAATTTTCCCGGATCCCTCCCTATCCAATCAATAATATTTAATTAAACAGAATGTTTTGTACCCCTTTTAAAGAAGAACGTCGATCGATAACTAAAAGCTTTAATCACTTTATGTAAAACCACAATTTGCACCACCTCTGCAGCTTGCATATGCATTTCTGGAACCGCAAAAGTCACAATTACTGCCCATGCATAGCAGATACGTTAGGTTGTTGCAAACAAACACACAAAAAGGATCGGCAATGATAAAAACGGTGACGTCAAGGCTTTAGTTCTTCTTGTTTGCTTCCACTTTTGAACATGTGAACCATATCTTGGATGTTTCAGAGGCCGGTATATGCTTAAACTGCCCCAAAAGGCCGATATGAGGCGCAATCCTGTGCAAGTTTAGGCACATGGCGGGCCAACGGTGTTAGCGCAATAATGGTTCAGCTAGAAAGCAAAATGCTGCGATCTTCTAGCGCACCGGATATCAATGTCGAAGCTGGAACAAACTCTACTTTGTGTCTACAATGAGGTCATCTATGGCTATTACGATATTGCAAATGAAATGAATGGGTAGATAAAGCGCACATTCGTGAAGCGATGTCTTCTATTAGGGCCACGAGATTTTGGTTTCTGACGTAAGCGACATCACAGCGGCTGACAAGAGCCAAAGCGATGATAAAGAGAGTCTTAGCTGTGCAGCATCATGTTCCACATCCAAGTTCGATAGGTGGGCCAATTTCTCTGGACCCTTTGGTGTACATGCAGTTAAAGGTCCACAGCCGAAGTGGCAGCGAAAGTAGCAACCTGAAGACTACAATGAGAGTGGCAAGTTGTCGTTACATGACGTCAGTGACACACCATATGACTACTCCAGACGCCCATCGTCATTGTGTTTTACGTGTTCAGGTTTGTGTAGATGTTGCCGTGCCTTAGATAGGTTTCATCTTTATCATGCTGATGTCGACAGTGCAGCAGCGCTACATGTGCAAGCAATGCGTCAGATTTTTTCGTCAATCGGTATAGCGGACATCCTAAAGCGGAGCCTACTATTTAGATCTCAGCTTTTTTAGACGTGAGATCGCCACGTCTCCAGAAGAATTTGTGCTCGGTCTTTCTCGACAAATGTTCACGAGTTTTCGGCGGCTCTGCGGAGCCTTCAACGCTCACTAACATTGTGTCGAAAGACGCGCAGGTTTTTACCACCAGCTGCAGTACTTGTAGATACAGCCTAGAAGAAACCAGACAAAAAATTCAGTCAAAGCATTTCTACTTGAGCTTGGTCACAGACCGCAATTTTCATCGTAACAATTTGTCCGATTGGTTGAGGATGTAGACATATACATAAGAAGTGAATAAAGCCACATAACACACATACTTGTTGATGAACATAGTAACCAGTCCAACGACAAAGAAGCCTCTCTCAACAATGTGTCTGCATACGTACAGCTACTTTTGCGCAGGAGGCACGTACCCATGCTGAGAAGCGTACGATTGGGCCATCTACGATGCAGCAGCAAAACTTCATAAGTCAAGACGCCACCAAGTAAGAAAAACACAGCTGTATCCAAACCTTGGCCATGAATTCCGGGTGCTCCTCTGCTTCATGAAGCACAAAAGCTCCAGCTTTTGATGCTATTCCTTCATGTTGCCGCAACAGTGTCTCCGTTTCCTCGGCAGCTGGACGATAAGTAGCTGTTGGGTCCATGTTCATGTCCAATGTACCCTCACGGAACTGCGGGTGGAAGAGTATAATGAGCAAACTCAAAATAGCGTTGCCACACATGAGAAGGCCCACGAAAGTGGGCAGTGAGCCATCCATGCCAAAGTCCATAAAGCCCACAATGAAGATAAAGGCTGTACGTCCACGGTATGTGAATAAAAAGCCAAATTGCTGACGAATCCAAGGTTCCATGTGCTTAAAGCGACATTCAAATGCCAGCAATAGTAGTGCAAAAATACTACATTCAAAAAGTCATATCATATGTTATTATCATCAAATGTTAACAATATAACAATTCAAGTTAGAAATATACAATACGAATTTAGAAACGTACATGGCATAGACGGAGATAAAGAAACATGTAATGTCGAGCACCACGAGATTAAATAGTCCCAGGAAGCCTGCAAGCGCTTGTAATACTGCCAATACCACGTTCGCATAGCGCAGATAGCGCATGAGCGTCGCCGCTTCCATCATTTTCATCCTATAGAAACATTCTAACGTTAGCTACTTTCAATTTCTAAAAAGTCTAAAATTTCTAAAACTTTTCACACTTTTGCCAATACGTGGACGGGGTCGACCGATTCGACAGGGACGTAAAGCCGTCCACATTGCCAATCTCCTGCCGGCGGATGCTGCCTGGATCCCCCGCGTTGCTCATCACCGCCTGCTGCGGATTCAGCGGTGCACGGAGCAGTCGTTCCTGCGCGTCGTTCTCAAACATTCGCACAGATGATTCAGTGTTATTTCTATACAAGTCGATTTGGAAGCCATTTAGAAAAAAAACAGGCGTTATGTACTGTCGCAAAAAGCGTTCTACAACCTGGATTGAACGTTTTGTAGCGCCGTTTATTTTGGTAATTTTATGACTCTTTTGTGTCAAAAATGATACAGTATGTTGTTAAGCAAAGGACTATAACGTGTTAACAACAAATGTGCAAGTGCTCAATTTACAAAAATACACGCACATGACCACATATGTATGACCTGCTGCTCTTGTGTGGTCTACTGCGTTTTGTTTGTCCTGCTTTCTCAATCACGTCCAAACCTTACTTCCTTACTTCCACCGTTTTTCTCGTTGCAGCTTTCTCTTCAATCGAGTCACCAACTTACTTCTGAATGACTTTCGTGGCGCGATACGTAAAGTCCTCAAAGTACTCCCGCTCGCGGTCCACTGAATCTAACATGCGCCATTCGGGTGTATCCACCGGTACCTGGTTAATGAACTCATTGTCCACATACTTGGCATCGGCATCGTCGATCACGTCCGGCACCCATTCCGGCTGCATTTTCTTCTGCTGTAGAGCCTCCCAATCGATACCTTCGAAAAAAGGATGCTTCATAATAGAAAATGGCACGGCTTCATTCGCTCCTAGTCGCTTCGATGGATCACGTTCAATCAAACCGGCAAGCAATGACTGTACATCTTCGGGCAGTTCGGGTGGAATGTATAGGAAACCCTCAGCAATGTTGCGGTACATGATGGCCTTATTGTCGTCCTTGAATGGCGTGCGTCCAATGTACATTTCAAAGATGAGAATACCCAAGCTCCACCAATCGCAAGTCATGTCGTAAGTTGCAGGAGCTTCGCCCTTCTTAGGATTCGCAGCAACGAGAACCTCGGGCGATATGTATTCCGGCGAACCGGCAAGTGAATGAGCCTTCTTGTCACCCTCGTCCCTCGCATATGTCGAGAGGCCAAAGTCCACGAGGACGATGTGACCATCCTTTTGAACAAGAATGTTTTCTGGCTTGAGGTCACGGTAAATGATGTCTAGACTGTGCAGGTGTGCTAGACCCGCTACCAACTCTGCAGCGTAAAACTTAATGCGTGCAGGCGTCAGCTTTAGCTCGTCATTCTGATTCATCGTCAAATGATGGCGTAGATCACCACCATTATAAAACTCCATCCCCATGTACACCTTATCTTCATTCTGGAAAGCAAATAGCAGCGACGCAACAAACGGATGGCGCACTTCGCGCAGCATGTCACGCTCAATCTTTGCGTTGCGACGCATGTTGTCGTCCATTCCAATCTTCGTGATAATCTTAATGGCGTAGACTTTTCCATCGGGGCCACGGGCAGACAACACGCGACCGTATGTTCCAGTGCCCAGAACCTTAAGCAGCTCAAAATCTTCAATCTTAATCGTCGACTTGGATTTGCCTCGATCCGATTCTGGAGCAGGTGCTGACGGCGTGGTGCTCGATGCTCCAGCAACACCACTTTGCACCTGGGACGCGCCTAATCCAACCTCCTCTTCATTGCTCACCGACATTGCCATCATCGAGCGAGTAAGCACTTCTTTCTCCATATCTTCCACTTCTTCTGCTTCGCCTGAAAAGATCATATCACGCTGTCGAACAGCATCTTTCTGCGTGGCTGAATCCAAATGGTTTACCATAAATCGATAGTACTTCCACGTACTATTTGTAAATCTCCGATCTCCTGAAACGTGCATCATCATGCCATTGCGAAGAAGTGCTGTACCAAGTAACAATGCTTCTTCAGCAGTCGAACACGTCACACCTCCTTGCATTGGACGATTAAGTCCATGACAAAGCATCCATTCCAATACCTCTTTACCCGTAACAACAGTTGGATGTGGTTTCAAGTACAAACTCCGATCTCGACTTGGTATCTCCTGTCTCATCTGTTCCGCACAAGTCCACAATTGCCATAAACTTGGTTCTCTCACAATACGACTGGAAATTCGTACTTTGCCTTGAATCCGTTTCATTTTTCCACCTGGACGTAATTGTAAATCGTACCAGGCGACTCGTTCTTCCCCACTAGTGTTCATGTCTTCTAGACTGAGTAAAAGTCGTCCCAGATCTTCGTTTTCCACTCGTCCTTTATCTTTGCACTTAACCAGCACATATTTAGCATTCACAAGGTCCGTCTGAATACCAAAAGTATATTCTTCGGATGCAGCAGCTGCCCCAATTCCAAGAGGTTGATGGGACTCGACATTGCTCTCTAATGAGCGCAAGACAGCGGCTTTTAATGGACTCCAGACGGGATTTAAATGCCGCATATGAGGCGTGCGTTGTTTCTCGCCTTTAATCTCCCGTTTATTCTCATCCAGTAGCACTAAAGTACAGTAAGAATTCCGACCACGTCCAGATTCAGCTGGTAATAAGTCCCAGGCCTCAATGGGCGTAACTTTAAGTAAGTATCGACGCTTGGCCTTAATACGTGTCTTGCCATTTGAGTATTGACAATGACTCTGAGTACCTATATATGTTATTTGGGTTAACGTTAGACACACTTTTTTTCTTCTTCGTTTTCACTTAAAGCGACAGGGGAGAAGAAACGTACGTGTTGAAAGTCTTCGACTTGACATGATAATCGAAACACAGTCTTTTTGATAAAGAAAAGAAAGAGGCTGTGGTTTCAGGGCTGGCACAACACTGTCGTGTAGTTGTGGCGAAGGTTTGGGTTTTTTAATCAATTGAGAACACCGTTTTGAGAGAGTGAAAAAACCCTGGGAGAAGTGGGTGTTAAGGACGAGGGGTACGAACTGAATCGAGATGGTAGATAAAGAGGGCTGGTGCTATTACTGCGTTATTACTCAATTTTCATAACGTAACTGCTGATATGATGAGATCATGCTTCTATTTTGCCGATTGAAGACTTTATTTACTTTTACATCAGCGTTTTACTAGCTCCAGATGTACATGCGAACACGGGAAAGCAAAGGAGTCAGACAAAATTGCTGTGTTGTAGGGTAGGGCAATGCTAAATTGCATTTACTTTTGTACCAAATCATGACTACAATTGTCCTATAATGAACATGTGCCTCTGTGCAATCTCACTGCTGATTTCTATGATACGTCAGGATTCTTCCATATTTTATAGCACCAGCTTTTTGATATATAGTCAGAAGTGTTTTGCTTTAAATGTATCAAATAAAGGATTGTGGTAAAGCCAGTAGGTCAAAACGTATTATGTAGTGAATCAGAGTTGTAACTGATTACATGTAAATTGTTTACCTACTCTGTTCCATTTGACTAATTTAATGTAACGAAATTTAGTACCTTTCAGAATTCTTAATCATAGCGAGCCTAGTTTTATAACGTAATACTAGGATCACATATCACTAAATAGGGGTTAATCTTCTTCGTATCACCAGTAAATAATCGCCCCAATCCGTGGGAAGAATGGCATCTCTCGTGACACTTCATGGCATCGACGTGTCTTCCCTAGACGAACGCAAGTACGAGACGTTTTTCCTGTCCAATGCTCTACAAGTTCTTGTCATTTCTGACCCTAAAATAGAAAAATCTGCTGCTGCAATGGACATCCACGTGGGTCATCAAAGTGATCCAGAAGAATTACCAGGTCTTGCGCACTTTCTCGAGCATATGTTGTTCTTAGGGACTCGAAAGTATCCGGACGAGAACAGTTTTAAGAAATTCTTGAGTGCTCACAGTGGTCGCAGTAATGCGTCCACGTCTCAGATGCATACAAACTTTTACTTTGATGTACTGAGTGACCATTTGCATGAAGCTCTGGATCGCTTCTCGCAGTTTTATATCGCCCCATTATTTACACCAAGTGCAACAGAACGGGAGATAAATGCTGTGAATTCCGAGAATGCCAAGAACTTGCAGAATGACCATCGACGACTGTATCAATTGCAAAAATCTCTCTCGAATCCAGATCATCCATTCCATAAATTTGGGACGGGAAATATTGAGACACTAGGGACAATTCCTCATGAAAGAGGAGTGGATGTACGTGCGGCATTGCTAGAGTTTCATGCCACGTACTACTCGGCGAGTATCATGAAGCTCGTAATTTGTGGCAAGGAAAATTTGACGACGTTGAAACACTGGGCGGAAAAGCTTTTCTCGGAGATTCGAAATACGGAACGAAGTTTCCCGACCTTTGGAAATGCAGTGCCGTTTGATGAGTCAAGAATGGCTCGTGTGGTGCATGTGGCACCGGTGAAGGATCTTCGTGTTATCGACATCTCGTGGCCTTTGCCATCGCTATATTCCAACTTCTTGACGAAACCGACGAAGATCTTGTCACATTTAATTGGGCATGAAGGTCCAGGATCTATTCTGAGCTATCTGAAGACACAGAAGTGGGCTAATGGGCTTTCTGCAGGGCTCTTTCGTGACAATGAGGACTGGGGACTGTTTTGTGTAAAGATTGACGTGACAGATGCGGGAATTGAGCATGTGAACGACGTCGTGGAAGTAGTGTTCCAGTATGTGCAGACTCTTCAGCGTGTGGCTCCGTTTGAGCCCTGGATCTTCCATGAGACCCAGGGCCTGGCGTTACAGAATTTTTGCTTTAAGAGCAAGGAGAGCCCCATCAACTACACAAGTAACCTGGCAAACGTAATGCACCGTTATCCAGCCAAGTATATTCTTTCAGGTGCCTACATCCTCTACGAGTATGATGCCGAAAAGGTCCAGAAGGTCTTGGACCTGCTTACTGCTCATCGAATGCGCCTTACGGTGGTCGGTAAAAAGTTTGAAGGCAAGACACAGTGTGTGGAGAAGTGGTACCAGACACCTTATTCGGAAAGTCCACTTGAATCCGAGCTTCTTGAACGTTGGACGTCGCCTCCTCCCAATGCGGCTTTGAAGCTCCCCCATCGTAACGAGTTCATCTGTAGCGACTTTAGAATCGTGACACCTCACAAAGTGTCCACCTCAGAAGGAGGCAATGAGGAAAGTGCTGCCGTGTCCCAGCCACTGCTATTGCAGCAAGATGAACAATGCCGCCTATGGTACAAGCCCGACATACAATTTCGCAAACCCAAATTAATGCTGCACTTCTTGCTGTATTCGCCGTCACTGTCTACCACCCCATACCACGCAGTGCTCACGAGTTTATTTGTGCGGTGTCTGAAGGACAAGCTCACAGAAGTGTCTTACGATGCCGAGCTTGCAGGTATGGAGTACGATATCGGTTTTAATTCTCGTTCGCTGGAGTTGCACGTGGGTGGATATTCGCACAAGCTTCCCATTTTGCTCTGTAAGGTACTTCAGCAAATGCTAGAGATGACCAAAGCTGAGTACAAGTACGAAGAAGCAGTCTTCGAGCGCGTGAAAGACCGCACAAAGCGTATGTATGAGAATTTCTTTCTCGAAGAGCCGTATCAGCACGCTGTGCATCTATGCAGTCAACTGTTGGAAGTCTCACGATGGAGTATAGAAGACAAGATCCGTGCTATTGAGCACCTCACCTTGTCTGACTTGGCATCTCACAGCCAGTTCATGTTCCAGCAAGTTTTCGTAGAGGGCTTCTTTTACGGCAACCTCCAGCAGAACGCGGCTCCACCATTGATGCAACAGGTGCTGCAGTATTTTGGTTTTGGCAGAAACGGAAGCTCCAGTGGAGGCAGTTTTCCGTTGTTCCCGAGCCAAATAACGAAGCCGCGAGTCGTCCAACTTGCCGACGCTAAAGAGTACCGGTACCAGCGACGTGAATGGAATGAAGCCAACCTCAATTCTGCAATCTGTACATTGTATCAGATGGACTGTGAGACGGAAGAGAGCACACTTTTTCTCCGTGCTCGTCTCGAGCTGTTTGCACACATTTTTAAGGAGCCTTGCTTCAACCAGCTCCGTACACAGGAGCAGCTTGGATACTTAGTATTCTCTGGTATTACCAGCATGGAAGGTGTCGACTGCTTTCGTATTCTAATTCAGTCAGATGTGGCTTCCCCGCAATTCTTGGACCAACGCATTGAGCTCTTTGTGACTCATTTTCGATCGTTTATTGCTGAAATGTCCATTGCTGCGTGGCAGAAACAAGTGAATGCCGTTGTGAAGGCATTATTGGAAAAGCCAAAACAAGAGATGGAAGAATCCATGCGTGCGTGGCGCGAGATTGCCAACGAGACATTTATGTTTGACCGACGTCAACGGGTTGCAGCGATCGTGTCGACTTTGCAACAGCGAGATCTCGTGGCATTTATTGACTCATTTATTGCTGTCAATGGTGATCGACGAAGGAAATTGAGCATTTGGCTATACGGTGCAAAGCACCCGTTTGTTCAACTGGAAAATGGGGTGAAGGAGGTTTCTAGGATTGCAATGTCCGATACTGGTTTGGTCTCTGCAATGCTATTGCAGCAACAATTGGAGGACATTGACTCGACTGTGAAAGTTGCTCCAAAGTTGATTGAAGATGTTGTCACTTTCAAGCAACAGATGCCACTCTTTCCAGAACGCGGTACCAAACACCTCACTACTACTAGAGTCAGTCTTTAGACATATTGAATACGGTACGACATCGATTTTTTTATTTTTCACTCGCAAAATTAATAATGTCACATGTCGCTACATTCGATTTTGTGTATAAATATATATTTCTACAGTTATATTTAGGATGAAGAGTAATGGTCACGTCTGTGTCCCTGATCAAAACTCGACTTCCCCTTCACTCTCCTGATCCGATACTAGAGGATATTATGTTTCTCAATCACTTTCGAATACCGTAGTCACACGTAGAAGACATTGTGTGCTCTATGGCGAGTCACTCTTCTTCCTTCTCTGCTGTCCGTACGCCGCAATCTTGTGATTCTGACTCTTCTGTCTATATGCGCTCATTGTCCTCATCCTCAATCCAAACAACTACTGAATCTCATAGTCATACAACGACCGCTACGCTCGTACCAGGGCATCCAGTCTTGCATCCCAATGTACGAACGTTGTTACCGAATTTTCGCTTTGATTATCATGGTCAACCATCATCTAGTGATGTTCCTAGTACAGTAAAGCTATTGAGTGAATTAGAGCGGTCGTGGGCCATGTTTGCAGCTTCGTGGAAGGTTGTCGACTTGTTTGCAGGCATGCAAATATGGCAAGAACAGGCTCAAGATGTTGATAATCATCACAGCTCAACAAATATTGAGCCATTGAATAATGTGCTCCTGACAACAACATCTGCTGGATTAGTGACATTTCTAGCTGGACACATTGGAGGAGGAGGGTTTCTCATCTCGGTCATTCTTACGGGACTTGTCGTGGCCGCAGCATTGTGGACCTTATCAAATGCTCGAGCAAAGAAAGCAGTACCATGTTTCAAGACATTACAAGTTGTGGATGGATCACCGTCGGAGATTTTTCTATATTTGATGGGGATCAAGAATTATCCCGTTTGGGATGCATCAGTTGAAAAAGCAGAAGTCGTGCATACGATTGATGACCATTCAGATATTATTCATATTGTTTATCGACCAGTATGGATGTGGCCAATGTAAGTGGATCATGCTATTGCTTGAGGGAAGGGGGATAGTAAGTTTGTAGGAGCTAATGCTGATATTGTTTGTGTTAGATGGCTGGCTTCGAGAGATTTGTGTTTGTTGAGATATTGGCGACGAGGAGAGGACGGATCGTATGTTATTTGTATGCAGAGTGCGTTGCATCCTGAGTGTCCACCAATGCACGGACTTGTGCGTGCAACGTGCAAAGGCGGTGGTTTTGTCATTTCACCACGTACACTGAGTCTTACACAGGGAGACGAAATGACATCTATGGTCACTAATGTGGTGCACTTGGATCCACAAGGATGGGAAGGCAAGCTGTTGCAACGCTTGAATGTCATGCACTTGTACGTACGACCTCAAGTCTTGTCACTAACGGGGCTGCGCGATGTGATGGAAGCGCGGAAGTACGTGTGTCCAAATGTGCCGGAAGAGTTCTCGGCGGCACTTGCGGCGTCAACGGAAGAGCAGAAGATAAATGCAGCAGTGCAAGATGGAAAAGTCATTCGTGGTGCTGCTGGTGACGCTAACCCATTGGTGTCTCGGCTGGAGGAGTTTCCGAGCAATGTACCACGGTCGATGTGGGCCGAGCCGGATGGTGCAACTATGATGGTGCGAGGCCCCGACTACTTGATCGATCGACGGAAAATCCCATCGCAGTCTCCGTACTTTCGCCTTGTTGGTGTTGACCTTTTTGAGTCATCCGAAGCTGTCGAGCACATTGCTTCACGTTCGGACAACCCTGTTCAGCGCGAGTTACGACGTCATGAGGAGCTAGGAACGGAGATGCCTTTCACCTTTGTGGTGAACTTTGTGGTGCCAGGAACCCCGCGCATCAACCTGGTGTTGTACTATCAGGTACCTCATCCGTCGGTGTTGACGGATGGTTCACCGTCGTCCGAGCTGATGGCAGATTTTTTGGAAGGATCCGATGAGTTCCGCAACGAACGTTTTAAGCTCATTCCCTGCATTGTAGAGGGGAGCTTTATTGTGCGCCAGGCTGTGGGTTCCACTCCAGCTCTTGTTGGCAAAAAGTTACGCCAGCCTACGTTCCGTGGCAAGCAGTACTTTGAGTTGGATGTCGATATTGGTTCATCGGCAGTTGCCAATCGTGTGGTTGGCCTCGTGTCAGGATACACGAAGAAATTGGTGATTGACATGGGGTTTGTGTTGGAAAGCCAAAGCTCGGATGAATTACCTGAGAGACTTTTAGGCAGTGTGCGCCTGGTGCATATCGATCTCGGCGTTGCCAAAAGAATCACGTGAGACTTTGAAGCAGATGATAGACAAGTAGAGGAACTCACAGCCGTGTCAGCTCCACCCCACTGTTACTACCAGGTAGTTAGTTGACTCACTATTATCTGTAAGCAGTGTATTGATACTGTACTTCCAACATCTTTTATCGAAGAGAGAGGGTGTCCGACTTGCCATGTTGTCTACCGGGTAGTACATTTTGCATTTTGATTCTGCGACGTGTGAGCTACTTTGTGGACCACATGTACTATATACTCACCCTGCCTCCAGTCAATTCAAAGTGTCAATCATTGACATTCTTATTAATTATGGACGAGGAAGGACCACAGGTCCGTCTATTTCTCTGTTTAATTATACATATAAATCAAATTTCTATCGTCGTACTAAATGCACTATATGTCGTTTATTAGATTCGTGTTAAATTTGTGACAAAAGACGTGTCCATTCGCGTGACGGAGACGCCATTTGCAGTACCAACACGTCTGAATCGTCGTGGCTTGTCACAAATTGTCAATCATTTGCTCGATACAAATGACAAGTTGCAACCTTTTGACTTTCTTATCGATGGCCTCTTTCTACGCTCATCGCTTGACAAATATTTGCAGCTAAATAATGTGTCAGAGGAGACACTACTGACGCTCGAGTACGTCCAGGCGCTTCCTGAACCTCAAAAACAAAATGACAAGGAACATCCGGACTGGGTCAGTGCTGTAGCTGCTTTAGAGGATGATCTGGTCGTCACTGGCTGTTATGATGGTCTGCTACGGATATACGACGCTCAGGGAGACTGTAAAACCTCGATGAAGGCTCATCAGGGAGCTATCAAAGCAGTGAGTGTGTCGGGCACGAAGGGAGAGTTTGTTATTTCGAGCAGTGGCAAGGATCAACTTGCACAATTGTGGCGGTATACGGCTTCATCAGCTAAGCTGTCGCCATTGGCGGCGCTGACGGGACACTTGAACAGTGTTGACGCCGTGCAAATGCACGCGTCGGGTAAGCGTGTAGTTACTGGCAGCTGGGATAATACAGTGCGTGTGTGGCAAACACCCCCGAGGAACGAGGAGGAAGGCAATGAACAGCGATCGGCAAAGAAACACAAGAAGACGGAAAATGGTGCAGGCACTGTTAGTTTCCAGCAGCTCGAGGCTGAAATTGTGCTGGTTGGGCACACGAGCTACGTGACGAGCGTAGCGTTTCGCCCAAAGAATTCAGAGCACGATGAAGATGTGGTTGTGTCTGCTGGTAGTGATCGCACTGTACGTCTGTGGGACTTAGTAACCCAGTCCTGCTCTCAGTCGCTGGTTGGCAACCGTGCTGTATCGGACTTGAGTGTAAACGCGAACGGCCTTGTGCTTACTGCCCACCCGGACCAATGCGTTCGCTTGTGGGACCCCCGTGCACAACAGAGCGGTGAAAGTATCGTACAGCGCACCTTCCGCTCGCATAAGCAGTGGGTGAGCTCGGTGGCTTGGCATCCGGATAGCTCCGCCAACGAACACATGTTTGTATCTGGTGACTATGATGGCATGGCCAAGTTGTGGGACGCGCGTAGCACAATTCCTCTGCACACCGTGAAAGCGCACGAAGGCAAGTTGCTTGATTTATCCTGGCGGAATCAAGGCAACAATGAGAGCAATGTGGTCTTCGTCACGGGTGGCGATGACAAGAAGCTGAATTTCTTCAGTGTATAAAGCAGATAGAGAAAAAACTTGCCTTGATTCAACCTCGTTTAATGTTTCCTCGTCTCGTCACTAAGCGTAAAGGTATTGTTTTCTAGATTCATCGGGGCCGGGCCCAAGCGATTTTCGGTAGCTTTCTACTTGGATTCTGCATGGCGCTTGGGATGAGCTTACTCCCAAGCCAGCAACTTCTCGAGTTCCTCAATGTCATCGGCGGGAGCCTGTGTAATGGGCCGCGCGTAGTACTCTTCAATCTCTGCAAGGTCCTGCTTACTCTTGTTGTCGTGTACGAAATTAATAGCACAACCCTTGCGGCCAAAACGACCCGTACGGCCGATACGGTGCAGGTACGTTTCGGGATCCGGGCGGTGGTCTCGTGTGAGCGGGATATCAAAGTTCACGACGAGCGACACACCCGCGACATCAATACCACGAGCCAGCACATTAGTGGTAATCAGTACGTTGGTCGTGCCAGCACGGAACTCGTCGATGACTTGGTCGCGTACCTCCTTGGCCATGTCAGCACCGTGCAGGATTCCAACCATGTGGCCCTTGTCACGCATACGACGCGTCAACTCCTTGGCGGTCTCGCGCTGCTGGACGAAAATAACGCACTTGCCGATAGTCAAAACAGCAAAAATGTCCGAAAGCACCTGAAACTTGTTGTCACGGGTCTTGCAGTCGATCCAGAACTGTTTAATGCCATCGAGAGTCAGCTTCTCCTTCTTGACCGTAATAATATTGTGGTCCGGTACCATCTTCTGAGCAAATTCACGCACGTCGTCAGCGTATGTTGCCGAAAATAAAAGGTACTGACAAGCACGGTTCTTGATCAGCCGCTTGATAGCCACAGAGCGCTCGCGCATACCGTCCTCCGACACCATCACATCTGCCTCATCCAGCACAAAAATTTTCACGTCACGAGTGTCCAGTTGCTTCTTCTTAATCATCCCCTCAATTTTTCCAGGCGTTCCCACAATCACTTGAGCCTTTAAACTTTCTCCACGAGCCAAGTCATTGCCTGGAATAGCAAGAAAAGTCTCGACGCCAATGAATTTGCCCATGGCGTTTACTACAGCCATAATTTGTCTCACAAGTTCACGAGTAGGACCAACACAAATAGCTTGTGGAGACTTGAGATTGACATCGACACGATAGAGCATTCCTAAAGAAAAAGTAGCAGTCTTGCCACTACCACTTTGTGCCTGACCAATGAGGTTCTCGGGCGGACTACAACAAAAATAGTAATATATCCATTTTAGTAGTCCACTATCATAATCATAATAATACACATATATAATACTACTTCAACAAACATCGCTCTCATACTTACTCAGCCAAGATCAGTGGCAGTGCTACAGATTGAATCTTGGACGGTTTCGCAAACTTCATATTGTATACGCCTTTTAGCAGTTTCTCGGGCCTAAGATGTAGTACATTAGTACTATATTAAAAAATAGTACTACTGATAATAATAATAATAATAATAATAATAATAATAATATTCCATACAAATTGAGCTCTTCGAATGTAACGGCCGAATATAAATTCGAATTCGGATCATTCTGTAGCACTTCCAGCTCAGCCTTGTAATCCTGATCATCTAAACCTTGACCTAGCGCCAGGATCTCCTCTAATGACTGCGTGATCTCCTCTACCGCTTCTTCCGCTTTGTTTTCAACCTCTACCGTCTCAACAGCAGCCACATCTAAAGTAGTAGGATCCGTCTCGCTCATCCTCTTTAATTTAATAATCTCATAACTTACTTCCCTACCATTAGTTTAGTGACTAGTCATTAAATAATAATGCTATGTATGGAGATGTTACTAAACCGAGGATTAATAGAAATGGATGACGTCGTGTGCGTCAGTCAATCCATTATCAGAAATTTACGTCTGTGACGATGCGCAGTCCACTGAGCTTTGAAGCTTATGGCGGAAGCTTGTGGCTTAGTAAAGAGCCATTTTTCCTCAAAGGTGCAAGTTTTTTTGGCATGGAGAGTGATATCTGCGTCCCGCATGGATTGTGGGGTGGACCAGACTCTACGACACTTGCAACCGTTGCGCAATTGCTGCGTTCGAATGGATTTAATCTTGTTCGAGTGCCTTTGGCTGTGACTGCAGTGGCAAATAACATCGTGGTGGATCGTTACAAGATTGGCAATGAAGTGGCATTACTCGAGACCTTTGAAGGACGAGAATTACGGTACTTGGATGTACTGGACTACATGGTGCACGAGTTAGAGCGTCACAATCTGCTGGTACTACTGGATGCTCATGTGATGCAACCTGCTGGTGCTATTACATCCTTGTGGTATGATGATGATCAAGGATGTCCGGAGACAGTGGTGGCAAAAATGTGGGCCTCGCTGGCAACAAGGTATGCGAGCCAGTGGAATGTTCTTGGTGCAGACTTGAACAATGAACCTCATGGCGAGGCGACGTGGGGATCAGGAGATGTTAGGACCGACTGGAGACTTGCTGCCATGAGGCTGTCGGAGATAGTATTAAAGATATGTTCTCGGTGGCTGATCTTTGTTGAAGGTGTCCAGACCACAGGCTGTGACTCGGGACACGAGATGCCGTGTTTCTGGGGAGAGAATCTACAGGCGGCAATTGTATATCCTGTGAAGTTGTGTGTGGACCATCGCCTCGTGTATTGTCCGCATACGTACGGCCCTGCAGTGTCGTGGCAGCCGTATTTTAATGCGGCAAATTTTCCAGAAAATATGCCGAGTGTATGGGATCATCATTTCGGATACTTGAAGCACCAGACGGACGTGCCACTCGTGATCGGGGAGTGGGGAGGTTGCCATGAGAATCGAAAAGATTGGAGCTGGCAGACGCGATTTGCCAAGTACGTGCAACATATTGGAGTAAGCGGTGTTGTCTACTGGTGTGTGAACCCGAACGGTAGCGACACGGACGGCTTGTTGTGTGCAGACTGGCGTACACCAAACGCAAATGCTTTCCAGCTGATGTCGCGCTTCACAGGGTCGCGTTTCCCGCTTTTTCTTGTTGTCCCTACATTTCTTCATGTCTTCGTTCCGCTCACTCAAACGATTTCTTCCTGATGTAATCAAATTTCCATGACTTGCAGTCATCTTGATTTCAAACTCTCTCCTTCCATTCTCTTTGTAAATAAATCTGCTACTTTTACGTTGACGTTCATGTGCACTCGATCTTTCAATTTGCTACAACTCTACGTTACTTCCTCCCCTCTCAACTTTTCTACTACTAATTTCAAAATATAGCTTCATAATGTCAAACCACGTACGCGTGGTCGATTCTTTGGGTGTTGACAACGCACCCATTAACTATGGACTTGTGGTATTTCGCACCCCAATCAACCAGTTTCACAGCACGTCGAGTCCGTCAATAAAACTCAAAAAGAACAATCTTCTTCAAACAGGTCCACAGGGTGTTGGACGTTCAACGTCAATCACAGGGGGGTCGACCATCATGTAGTCCAGCCAATGCCAATATCCAGCTCGCATCCATCCACGAGAACATGGTTCATCCATCACGCACTGCGTTTCAAAGCAATCAATGCCACGGGATGCCGGCATTGGGCGAAGCCATGACAACCACAGCTTTAGGATGCGTGATCGACTTTGGAATCACCAGTGGACTCGACTTTAATGACCACGTCAGGTTCGATCGGCCGAGCCTTGATCGATCGTGTGGTTGCTACTGTTTTTACCACGCGGTAATGCGGAGCGGCCTTGTTTACGACGCTGTTCCATGCGCCGCTGGTTCGTATTGGCTTTCTGACGGTGATACTCACAGAATTTATGCAGCTCGCCATTGGTTTCTCGAAGCCAACTCCAGCATTTCTTGCTCGGATAGCCACAGAGCAGCGGCGAGCGCTTCAGCTGCGGGTCTATCATGGCATTATGTGGATGCATGGCCAGCTTCGTTACAGTTGTGGCATGGATTGCAACATGTCGGAGGGTGACTGATAGCTGCGTGACGTGCGAACGATGAGAGAAGCTGCCACTGAGTACGTCGTGGTCGTGACCATGGCGGATAAGGTTTCAACTGGATGCAAATATGCAAATGGATCATTCGCAGCCGCCACTGAGACAGCAATAGGTACGAGAAGGTATGCATGGCTCGGGAAGGCGAATTTTAACGCAGCTGGTGTCGGAGTTGCGCGTTCGGGCACTGGTGCTAAACTCCTGGCTGTCTCGTCTGTATGTGAACTTTCCCACCTATTATTCGATGGGTCAGAGACGGAGCGAGCTACTTAACGAAGGTTCGAAAGCTTGCCTCGTCTGCAAGACTGCGCCAGAGAAACTACCATTGGTACTAGAGGATATGTATCAATCTTGCATTTATATCTTAACTTTGGCGTGACTTTGAGATGCGGGAAAGCGTAGGCTGCAGGTTTGCAAACTATTTCACTGATCATCGAGTGTTCAGTTGCCTTCCTTGTTCATAAATATATAATCGCACTGCTTTCGACTGTCCCATGCGGTCCAAAGTGTCGAATTATTGCTCAGTTAATTTAAATGGAAATAAAGCAGCTGGCCACGTGAAACCGAGCGCCGGCTGATCTGCGGAGACGGGCGTACGTGACCTTATTCCTGACGAATACAGGGCTCAAGACCGACGGTGGTCGTTTCCAACGATGGTGTTGCGCTGCGCCGACCAGACAACCCCGATCACCAGATACACCAGCACGGCGGACCTCCATTGTGATGCATTGCTGACTCCGCCGCACTGCGCGAAGAACGTTCGGGTAGCGAGTATAGCAGGGACGAAAGCAGAAAGATGATGATATTTCTTTGCCCTTGTATGGCGCAAAGCTATGTAACCGCCACACACAGACGAGCCACATGGATACTTTTTCCCACATCGTCACGGATCTCTGCCGCGACAACTGCTTTTGCCTTTGCGGCTGCGGCCCTTCTCCCCTTTGGGGCCGTTATGGATCATAACATGGCTCGCCCTTCGTGGCTGGAACTGATCGAAACGATTTGCTGCTCAGGCTGAGAAAGGAACAGTTTACTTACGGCATGCAGTAAACCATTGATAGCCACAGAAACGTTGTGCTAATTAAAAAAAAGTATCCTCACTGACGCACTCGTGCCATGCTACTCTTCCATGGTTTTAGAAATTTCTTGTCGATTCATCCAGACAAACGTACTTGCTACAATGGAAGACTTTCGTTGCGCAGCCGTGGCACCAATTGAACTTGATCCGTGCAGTGGACGCAATCGGAGGTATCATCCGCTCAAATGATCTTGTTACAAACAAGCAGCATTATCGCATTCGGCATCGACGCTACCTCCGACAGTGCGAGCGGATATTAAGCACATGAGTGTAGACGACACTGACATTGTTGGCGGAAAAGACGATGGTGAATAGCTTGTTCCGTCTGCGTAACCGCGCTCAGGATTCAGCGGAACAGGAGTATCCATGAGCAGGAAAGTGCGTCCACGGAGCAAGAGGTAGCGAAAACAAGTCCTTCTTCGCCAGCTCCCAGCGGTCGTTATCAAGGAACTACAGAGAGATAGAAATGTGAACAATGGCGTCTACCTCCGCCTAGCAACGGAAATCATCGTCAACCGGCAGCCGGCACTGCACAGTCCTCGTATCGACAGAAGACATTTCCTGCGGTACTAGAATGGCTGCGAACTTTGCAGAAATCTTGAACACCGTCACGGTAAACCGACAGTCTGTTACCATCACCAATTGAATTGATCCGTCGTAATGACAGATGCCACTTTGTCACATGAACAACGCTACCACCAAGCACTCGCTCTGTGCGAGTATCGCAATCCAGTGGTCTCTGCGATCTTTTATAGATTTGAACCGAGGTTTTTGCATGCCTGAGCGAAAAGCTTCACCTTTATTGACGATTACGTCCAAGATCATGATCGAGGGCTGCATAGCTCTGTTTTCCAGTGATGATTGTTAGTTTATTGAAATTCCTTTATTTTCGTATGGGGTCATTACTTTGCTATCTATCGTCTCACTACTGTCTTCAACCTGTGCGCCATCTTCACTTGATTGCAACATTAAAAGTATTTCCCAACTACCGGGTCGAGCGTAAGAATCTGTGGACAACTGTCCAGCACCGTCGTCCAAAAGTGTTTGGAAATCTCCAGGTGGATTGAGATTGTGTGTGTCGGCCTCAACGTAGTCGAGCCAGTCTTTTTTTGCAGTTCGGTACTCCAGTTCTAGATCCGACAGCATCATCTGCATCTCACGTGTGTTGTGCTTCAGGTTCTTGTACGTCCCAACATCAGCCTTCACTTGGGGCCGTACTTGACTGTATAAATGTCGCTAACTTGGCTTTAGACGATGACGCGGTTTGAGACGCAAACCTTGCTTTTGTGGCTTTTTGGAGCACGACGAAGGAGGCCGCGGTAGTGCAGGAGGAAGCAACGTTGGTAAAGGCAATACTGGTGGAAAAAGGAGCGATGGTATCAAAGGTAGTGACGGAGGACCTCGAGTCATGGGTGGACCGACGAACCGATACAAGTCTTTAAAATCCATTGTCTACTTTCCGGTAAAATGCTCAAATGACGTACCCAAATGGCTATCGTACAGGAAGTAGCCTTTTGAGAAGAGATCCAGCACATCAGACTTGTCAATCAGTCCACCACCATCAAAAGATTGGTTCCAATGCCTCAGGAGATAGCGAAAGTTTGCTGTATCAGCTGCTGCAAAGACGCTAGCATCAAGATATTCTTCTTGCAGCAAACGGGGCGTGTCGCCACCATCGGCTGTTGGACCCAAGTGTCGATTCAGACGATTAAACTCGACCTACAAGGGAGGCTATTGAGTAAGACCTACTTGATTATGAGAGCAGTGCTCCAAAATGCATAAACCATCCCATCGAGTTGCCGTAGTGTAGCACCTGTTAGTGATCTCAACCATTTGTCTTCAATACGGCAAAGGCGAGTCGCTACGCTTTTGCCGTCGCATCTCATTGTGCACTTTGCCCAGCATTATAGTGCCACTAACGACACTAGCTTTTATAATAGCACTTATTGCACGCACGACACACTTGTGTGAAGGAAGATGCATGAAAACAACATTGTCCACATCTCTATCGCATGTCGATGTTTTTCGATGGAACGTTCTTTGAATTCTTGAATCTTCTTTTGATGCATTGGCAAACGGTCCAGTTTTTTCTCGTCTGCTGACTCATCGTCGGTCAACGCCTCCTTCAAGTGATCAAATGAGAGGAACTTACGTCTTAAGAACTTGTCAAATGCATTCTGACCACACTTCAACCGTGTGGAATGTATTTCCTGTCGCCATTCTCCGTCGTTTTGCACTGCTTATGATTTACTTCACGCACTGCAAAATCAGCTCGTGGTAGAATCACAAATCACCTCATGACAAGCTGAATTTTAAGTGTACCGCGCTGAGCCGCATGAGCCAATGCTGCCTCGGCTCGCTCCAACGGGTAAACACCATGAATATACTTTTGCACGTCAATCTTGCGGTCTCGTAGTAATCGCAGTGCCCATGGAATGGGTCCACACCGGGAGCCTACGATTCGTAGTCGCTTGCTTTGCACCACCGTAACGTCCACCGTAGACCGCTTTACCGAGCACGTTGACTTGATAATTACAGTTCCACGTTCGCGTACTAATTTCAGTGCCAACGTGATGCCGCTGGGACTTCCTGTGCACTCGACGCACACGTCAAAAGGCTCTCGGTCGCTGGCGATTCGAGCTACAAGTGCATTCATCTCTGCATCGTCACCGCTCGATAATGTATACACGCTGCTCACGTCATGTTTCGCTAACGCCAGCCGATCGCGGTGCTTTCCCACGAGTGTTACTGATTTGGCAGCTCCGGTAGCCTGAAGAACCTCTGCTACCATGAGACCTAGTTTTCCATCTCCAAGTACCACGACGTGATCGGACGACTGGACAACTTGTTGCTCTAGAATGCGGCACGCTGCCGCTAATGGCTCAGCAAAGACGGCGTGCGAGTCCACAATGCTGTCTGGCACCTCATAGAGGTTTGCAAGAGGAAGTGTAATGAATTGACTAAATGCACCGTCCTTCCGCACGATGCCGAGGCAGGATCGGTTGGGACAATGGTTGCGACGCATTACCTCATCTCTTGTCAACGTATCACCTCTTCGATTGAACGTTATATTGCATCGTGCACAAGTCACACACTTGGACGAGTTGCAAGGAATGTTAATTTCACCTACAACACGCTTGCCAATCCACATCCGTTGTGTCTGTTCATCGTTCGTGTACTGTGCTCCAAGCTTCCGAACGATGCCGACAAACTCGTGTCCTAGTGTACCCTTGAACCCTGGCTTGTAATTGTCAATCATCTGCAAGTCTGTCCCGCATATACCTGCTCGTAACACCTCAATCAGTGCTTCATGAGGAGCCGGAGTCGGTACGACAAGGTCCGTGATCAATTGCGGGGCTAATCCATTGCCTTGCAAACAAAGACCTTTCATAAAGAGCAGCTCTGTTGTGCCAGACCCAATGGCACTCGAATCAACACAACGACTAATTGGCGAATTATCACCTTTCCCATGATTTGATCTCAATAAGTTGAGTTTGTGAAGCTTCTGTGGCTGTATGATCACCTGCGGCATTATAAATGTCGGATTCACGAGCGTCAAAAACTCGCGAAACAGCTGATTCTGCAGTGCCTTCATCGGAATCACATCCGAGCGCAGCCAGTCCACGAAAGCGTCATTGTGCTTTTGCAAGGAAGTGCTGCTAGTATCCACAGTATCAGTCATCTTGCAGCGCTTCATCGGCCCATCAGCTGACCCGAATGTGTCCTTGAGCTGTACTACGAGCTGGTCGTTGCCGTTGTGTCTTAAGTTTGCAATGTCAGGGTCACTTTTCATACCCCGGTTCTTTCTCGATTCTGTCATTTTGCTACGCGCTGGACTATCAACACGAAAAACCTGTGGATGATGACGAAACAAGTGTCTCTTGAGACTATAGACTCGGTTGCCCATGATCACTTGGCACAGCGTACAAATGACATGAGCTTTTTCCGACGCCGATGTTGCACCTGTGCGTGCTTCCGTATTTCCATCTGATTTCGTCGCTACTACCACTGGTGCTACGAAAAAGTCCCGCGGACTCGCAAACGCTTGCGTGGCCAAGAACGCTGCTGGAATGTTCGAAGACGATGCCGACGCCGACGCTGGTACAGAAACAGACCGATACCTCTCGGTCTCTGTCGTCGCAACATCCACCTCGATTTTCTCGTGTTTAATGGTGACATTGGCTAGAGCTGATCCAGCAGCCCAGAAACTATCGTCACTGGTCGTTGGGGTGGGTGGTGAGCTAATGAGGTTTGCAATACTCATCTGTTTGCTGGGTGTACGTACAGTCCATGCTGCCTCCTCCTTATCCCTATCCACTGTATCATCATGAAGGCACTTGGGATCGAGTGTATCAACCGTTGCAAGTTTACGCTTCTTGCTCATGGCAAAAGACAATGAAGGCGATATCATGCTGGTAGATACACTATCAATGGAACTACAATGACTATCAGAGCTTGTGCTGCCTGCCATGGTGACACGAAAAGCTCTGCGTGTCCTTGAGAATCTTGCAGTTTGTCTGATTTATACGTACGAGCTGAGCTGTCCGTTCATATGTAGCCATCTCAGTGAATAAGTCTCATGTGGTACAGATGGACCTATGTTATAGAATATGGGTATATAACACACCGGGTTCAGCAACCAGTACATGACCATGGCAATGACAAGAGTTGATGTCGATATAAATGTTACTGTTGCTACATCACCACCACGCCATTTTCTCATCCTGAACAATGTACAGAAAATGAAAAATATCAAGAACATGTTACTAAGTGCTTCGGCCTTTGGAGTCAAAGAGGTTTTTGTCGTAGGACAAAAGAAATTCAATCTTCAGGAACAGGAACCATTTGTAACTTTATTGAACTGTCGAATCACGCGTGTGGCCACGTTAAAAGACTGCAGAAAGTATTGCATTGAACGAAACATTTGTATCATTGGAGTCGAGATTATGCAGAATGCCAAAAGTATTGCGGACCAACCATTTCATGGTGACTCAGCCTTTATTATGGGGAATGAGGTGACTGACTGACTGACTGACTATGTAGCAAGAAAGAGCCGGTTTGCTGTCACGGGAGACTCATGTATGTATGTTGTGTACTGTCTCATGCAGGGAAGCGGCATGAATGCGGCTCAAGTGGCCATTTGTGATGACTTTGTGTATATTCCGCAGTATGGAGGCGGCACAGCGTCCCTTAATGTGACAGTCGCGGCATCAATCATCTTGCAGAGCTTTGCATTGTGGGCCAAATTACCTGCTAAAGAGGTGATAGTCGAGGTGTAAAAAGTATAGTTGATGTCAGCAGGAGCATGGAAAGAAGAGATGTAGCACCTCTAGACAACATCGGAGTTGAGCTTACCTCGAAATATACGACTGCTCAATCAACGGAGTCCGGAATTGCATGAGGTCTTGGCGTCGTTAGAGCGATCGATCTTCGTATTATCACATGTCCTTCTCCATAAACTCCTCATAGCTCTGACCAAACAATCTCTGTACGTCACGCTGAATGTCGCTCTTGGACACTTTCCAACCTGTTGCAAACAGCTTCTTGTACATGTCCACCAGCACCTCACCAATCACCTCGCGTGCATGGCTCCATTTGTAAATGAGCTGGTCCAGTACACGTGCGTCCGAGTGCTGGCTCGTGAACGCCGTACCGAGGATCTCAATACGCATTCGCGTGAGCTCTTCGATGATCGATGGGTTGTTGCAGTACCACCAGCAGCCGTACAGGTGCAAATTGCCAAACTTGTTGGCCGTCACCGTCACCTCGTGCTGGTTCACGCGCGAGAGGAACGTGGCCAAGAACTTCACTTTGGGAAAGTTGCGGCACAGTTTGATCAACGTGTCCACGTTGCTGGGCTTTACACCGTCACCCGCTACACCATAACGAGCGTTAATAGGACGCACACTGTCAAACTTGAGCGCGATCGGCAGCTTCTTCTCTTCCGCCAGAGGCAGCAACACTTGCAGCAGCAGCTCCGCACCTGTCGGCGGTTCATTCGTACCAGACCCAAACGCGTTCTCATCCGGGTACTCGAAGGAAATGGGCACGCTCGACATGAAGTACTCGGGCTTCATGATGTCGATCCATTTCTCCAGAAGCGTGCGTACACCTTCTAGTGTGTGTGGTAGCTTGAACACGTCCAGCGTCGGACCGATGGATACCCAGTCGCCAAGAAGAACCTGGTCCACACGTAGCGCCGAGCGGAAGAACTTGCGCGACCACGCAGGCGGAGGCGTGTTGGTGGCTGGATCGCCCAGCCAGTGGCGAGCCTCCTCCGGCTCGAACGGGATGTTGGTCATCACCGCATACTTGAGACCCGACAGCCGGAACACCGTATCCACGTACTCCTCGGCGTCTTGCTGCTTGAACCATTCCTGGATAGCAGGCAGGTCACGCTTCGCCACGAGATTATCAAGGCCTAGCAAGTGTAGTGTCGTCAACACACCACGACAAGCTTCGGACACCGGAGACCGGTCGATAAACAGGTGCTTCCAGATGAGACTGGCCTGCTTTTCTTTCGAGTATGAGTTGAGCTCTTCTACTTGCACGGACGCCGTCTGCAAGAACTCGGCCACGAGATAGTGATAGGTGAGCAGCTCGTTGATGCCCCACAGCATGAGCTTGCCGTGGCTCGGAGGGAACAGGTGCGTATGCACATCGATGATCTGGACGCTGGCTACGGCTTGACGAACGAACGTCACGACCTTCTCCTTGGTAGCGAGATACTCGCTGGTGTGGTGGTTGCGCAGCACGTCGTCGAGGGTCTCAAGAGCCGTCTGCTTGCCGGACACGAGACGCTGGTACAGAGCTGCGACGTCAGCTGCAAACGAAGCGTATGCGTCGTTCGTGAGGTCGAAGCCCTCGACTGAGCTGAGTATACTGGCAACAGCGACGCCGACGCCGCTGGAAACCTCAGGGGAAGACTCGGCGCGCGCAGACTTGGGAAAGTCGTGACTACTGCTCTTGCTTGCACGAAGCACCTGTTGACTCGCACGCCAAAGAATTCTGGCTGTATCACCTTTCTCACCGTCTAAGAACTCGTACTTACCTGTTGAAACGTTAGCGCTCAGCCCGTTTGCGTACACCCAAGTTTTCTCAGTCGTGGAGTACATGGGCGTGCTATCTTGAATCGAGTCCATTGCACCGACGAAAATTGCCGGGCCACTACCATTCTCTTTTCTAAAGTCCTCTTGCGTCGGGGTCAGGTATCGTAGAATTATAGCAGTAGCAAACGCCATGAACACGCTTGGGCGGTACATCTCGTCCATAGCCACATTGGCCTTTACGGAACTGAATAGTCTGACACCGAACTTTAGCATGGCATTCTGCCCAGCCCAGAAGTTGTCCAACCCGAAATGCTTGTGCTCCACGCGACCCATCCACTCATCATACGCGTGCTGAGCTTGCTCTTTGCTGACACCACGCGACAAAAGCGACGGGGCGATGTCGTTGACGTACAGCAGATTCAGAAACTGCCGGATCTCAGGATACTTCAAAACTTCACATGTTGTCTTCACACGCGTCAGGGCAAGCAGGTACACTATCGCCGTGTGTACAGCATTAGCGATACTGAGCTTAATCAGGTGGTCTTGCTCCAACTGATCAGCAGTCGTACGGATGTGCACACCCGGCAGAGTACTCAACACTTCAGCATCCAAAACACCCTGAATATCTTGAATCACCAGTGTCTTTGTCGGCCACGGTTCCGTCAATGGCACCAATGAGTCACCAGCTCGATGAGACGTCAGACGGTCTACCATTGTATTGTGGAAATGCACCTTTGACGTTACGTATGCTCGAAACGGAGCAAGATCACTTGGTTGATCGTTCCATTCCGTCTCCAGTACCAACTTCTTGATAATCTCTCCATTCTTGGGCAAATTGTCCGTATTGATCACCGAAATGACATGATCTACAGCAAAGAATACACGACATCAGCTTCTACTCGTCTCCTGATGCATTTTTGACAATTTTGACCATCTCACTGGAATTAGCCTGGAAACTCTTATAAAGCAATTCCGTGAGGTCCACAATAGCTTGTCCTCCTTTAACAATCCCACTCTCTGTTACCCCAAAACCAATAATCTTCAGCTTTAACAACTTGGATGGCAATTCCATAAAAGCTCTGCGTCCTTGAGCATCTCCCAAGGAACCGACAGCTTCCACCTGAATGACTTGAGTCTGCACACTGCCGTCCTTTTGGATCGTGTCCACCTCGTACTTGCCCTCATCCTTTGCACAGACTAATGCAAAGTTCAATCCTCGTGTTTGAGCTATGATAACACCACTACCGGCAGCTTGAAGCGTTGGTATCAGCACGGATCTCTGCATTTTTGACAGATGTCATGGCAGCACAAGTATCGGTTTTTTTAGTATCTTGTTTCTATTATAAAGAGCGTGGAATCAAAAGCGTACCAGGAAGCGACCGCTACCAATGCAAATAGTGTCGGTAGTGTCCGAAAAGACCGATTGTCCTCGTAATGGCTTGAACATCTTGGAGAAAAAGGAAAAATGACGTTAACAATTTTAGACTTGGGATAAAAAAAAAAAATACCGGGACAGTGGTCAGCTCGTAAGTTATTTATCACAAACGAAAAGATTGCAATACAACTTTAGCATGAACAAAAAAATGCAAATGTCACTTTTTTTGCTAGTCGTACAGAATCTCGAGCATCCGGACAAAATTATTTGTACGATAAAGAAGAATCATCAAAACTTCCAGGAAGATTTAGATCTCTTATTCTTATACCAATCGACATGTTCATGTCATTTCAAGACGTCAATTTTTCCATCAATACACGCGCTGTTTGCATTGGCAGTGGTCGATTCCTGGTACCTTTTTAATCACTATTTTCTTCTATAAAATTTCCATTCTTTTCATTCATTTATTTGTCTTTTTTGTTCGTAGCGTACACTTTTAATTCCAATTTTTCAAGCTCTTGGTTCAACTGTCATTGTAATGCAAACTCGTGGTACAAAGTTTACAACAACTTGTACCAATGACAAGGGAAAGTACGAGGTGGACACTATTGATTATGATGGACAAGTACACACAAGTGTCTATCAATTAGAAGGTGACAAGAACAATGCATTATATACTCTCTTTTTTCTCTCTGTACAATGAGCTACTGATACACTGATATTGTACTCTTTTGTGTGTGTGGCTTTGCTAAGCAGCAGTAGGATCTTTAGGTGTTTCTGAAGATCGTAGAGCTTTTTTTAAACTTCCTGCTAAATTACCACAGCTCAAGTACGTGGGCTTTGGAGTCACAGAAGCAGGACTACAATCAAACACACAAGTTATTCAAGATCTGGCCAAATTCTTGCAAGAGACTTTCAAGGCTATTCCAAGTCTGGAAACGTGTGTCTTTAAAGGTTTGGGTGAATGAGATTCTAATGTTATTGGGTGTGTTGTGGTGTTTCAGAGAATGATCTGTCCATTATCAATACGGACAACTTTCCTAATAATGGTGACCATATTAAAAAGCTCGTGCTTGAGCTGGATGGGATCAAGGATGATGATGCTGCTGCGTTTCGAACATATTTGGATACCAAAGTGCACTTTCACAACACTGTAGTGGACCGCATTACAAGCCACCGTGCTGGAGACTTGTTGGTGCCTCTTACTGAGCTGCTACCGACCAAGGCTATTGTCATTGAAGATTTACAAAGAGTACTGGATGCTGATACTCTCCGGAAAATACCGGGTGTCCACTTGCGCACTGAAAAGTCAGAAATTGCCAAGGACTATTTGCTCAAATTCTCGTTGGGCAATGCAGTGAACTCAGCTATGGTATATCTACTGGCACTCTCGCGTCAACGGACAGCCAACCAGTTTGACAAGTTTCCGATCATTAGAGAGTACTTAGATGCACTGTTTGAGAAGGACCTTTTGCCAGCATTGGTTGCTGGTGGTGTGGCTGAAGATGAAGCCCGCAAGTTTTATGCGGAGTGGCTTGTGCGTATGAAGCATCCTCACTTTGGATTGGACAACTTTTGGGTCGCTCAGAATGCACTCGTGCGACTTTACGTGCGTCTTCTGAATTCGGTAAATATTAACATCGCTAGTGAGGAGAACTATCGCCCAAGTAAGTTTATGGCTTTTGCAGCAGCTGTTGCGTTGCGCTTCCTGACACCGTGGCAAGCCGATTCAAAGCGCAACACCCCGACCATCTTTGTTGGTCAAATGAATTCCATCCAAGATGTTGCGCCAATCTTCTCGCTCACTGAGAAGACTTGGAGCTACGACACAGGTCTCGCTGCTAACCTCTCCACGGGCAAGTACGAGTTCGACGATGGTGAGAATGGTCGTGTATGTCGACTGCTTTGGCGTGCGAATCAACAGGTGCTTCGTGCAAGCAAGTGCAGCAGTCACGACTTTCCCAATTCTGTGCGCGCCGAGTCTTCCTCTGAGGTTTCCAGCGGCGTCGGCGTCGCTGTTGCCAGTATACTCAGCTCAGTCGAGGGCTTCGACCTCACGAACGACGCATACGCTTCGTTTGCAGCTGACGTCGCAGCTCTGTACCAGCGTCTCGTGTCCGGCAAGCAGACGGCTCTTGAGACCCTCGACGACGTGCTGCGCAACCACCACACCAGCGAGTATCTCGCTACCAAGGAGAAGGTCGTGACGTTCGTTCGTCAAGCCGTAGCCAGCGTCCAGATCATCGATGTGCATACGCACCTGTTCCCTCCGAGCCACGGCAAGCTCATGCTGTGGGGCATCAACGAGCTGCTCACCTATCACTATCTCGTGGCCGAGTTCTTGCAGACGGCGTCCGTGCAAGTAGAAGAGCTCAACTCATACTCGAAAGAAAAGCAGGCCAGTCTCATCTGGAAGCACCTGTTTATCGACCGGTCTCCGGTGTCCGAAGCTTGTCGTGGTGTGTTGACGACACTACACTTGCTAGGCCTTGATAATCTCGTGGCGAAGCGTGACCTGCCTGCTATCCAGGAATGGTTCAAGCAGCAAGACGCCGAGGAGTACGTGGATACGGTGTTCCGGCTGTCGGGTCTCAAGTATGCGGTAATGACCAACATCCCGTTCGAGCCGGAGGAGGCTCGCCACTGGCTGGGCGATCCAGCCACCAACACGCCTCCGCCTGCGTGGTCGCGCAAGTTCTTCCGCTCGGCGCTACGTGTGGACCAGGTCCTTCTTGGCGACTGGGTGTCCATCGGTCCGACGCTGGACGTGTTCAAGCTACCACACACACTAGAAGGTGTACGCACGCTTCTGGAGAAATGGATCGACATCATGAAGCCCGAGTACTTCATGTCGAGCGTGCCCATTTCCTTCGAGTACCCGGATGAGAACGCGTTTGGGTCTGGTACGAATGAACCGCCGACAGGTGCGGAGCTGCTGCTGCAAGTGTTGCTGCCTCTGGCGGAAGAGAAGAAGCTGCCGATCGCGCTCAAGTTTGACAGTGTGCGTCCTATTAACGCTCGTTATGGTGTAGCGGGTGACGGTGTAAAGCCCAGCAACGTGGACACGTTGATCAAACTGTGCCGCAACTTTCCCAAAGTGAAGTTCTTGGCCACGTTCCTCTCGCGCGTGAACCAGCACGAGGTGACGGTGACGGCCAACAAGTTTGGCAATTTGCACCTGTACGGCTGCTGGTGGTACTGCAACAACCCATCGATCATCGAAGAGCTCACGCGAATGCGTATTGAGATCCTCGGTACGGCGTTCACGAGCCAGCACTCGGACGCACGTGTACTGGACCAGCTCATTTACAAATGGAGCCATGCACGCGAGGTGATTGGTGAGGTGCTGGTGGACATGTACAAGAAGCTGTTTGCAACAGGTTGGAAAGTGTCCAAGAGCGACATTCAGCGTGACGTACAGAGATTGTTTGGTCAGAGCTATGAGGAATTTATGGAGAAGGACATGTAAGAAAAAAGCGTGAGGACTATGGAATTGGTAAAATTTAGCTGTTTTGGTACTTATTATCCTTCTAAAAGTGCAAGATATTTTCTTGCCTGAGCCGGGGGTTGACCAACTTGATCCAAAGCTTGAAGAATACCGGTTTTTAACTCCATGACATGGGTATGTTGCTGCTGTTTCGTTGTCACTTCTTTCAACTTAATCTCTTCCCTCTTAAGTTGCAACGCCTCACGTCGTAACATCTGTTGCTGTTTCCATTGGGCCACTTCAAAGTCTAATCGGCGCGTCTCAATTGCCAAAAGTTGTAACTCCACCTCATGGGCATCCTCAAATAAGGGTTCAGATGCCTCAAATAAGGGATCAGATGCCTCAAATAAGGGTTCAGATGCTTCATGACGACCATTTCCTTGTTTATTCTTGGCTGGCGCGGACGTCTCGTTCTTGTGTTTCTTTTTTCTCATTGCCAAAGAATTTAAAAGTCTATTGTCGTCAGAGAAATCTTCTGGTGCGACCACATCAAAGTCACTCATGCTGTTACTCGCTATAAGACGTCGACGATCTGCTTTCGGCATCGACCTTTTCACGTGCATTTTAAATGATTTTACTAATGAATTAGCAAATAATGTTTATTCAACTAAATGCTAGAATGTTATAACGTAATTAACCTAATAAAAAGTAGTTTGTACGCACGCTGCAAAATCACTTGAGCGACGGCTGCCATTGTAGTCGTACAAAACTATTTGCTCTAAATTGTATAATTCAAAATTAGAAAAAGCAGCAAAAATGAATCTGTCGCATTTTCAAATCAAGCTGAATCTGATACTCATACTGTATGTCCTTTGGCGTCTCAGTCTCATCGACTTGATCTCTATCAAATAAAGTATTACTGTTTACTGAGCGAGTTTAATCTTAAAATGCATCCATCAACGCTGCCAAATTCTAAACGTCTTCCTTTTCATCTACCAGCCTCATGCTGTTGTACAGCACCACAGCGTACATACCACCCAAACAGAGCTGATAAGACAGTCAGTTATCCGTTGAATGTTGTTGTCCTTGCTTCGACCGACCACGCCACGATGGCATCACGCTATGATTTCGATTCTGCTGCTTCTCAATCGCTTCAGCGATATCATCGACGAGTAATTCAGAGCAATTCCAAGCGCTCTACAATGTCAGCGACGCTTGCACCCGCAGAAATCATAGGCTGGATAATGGTTGCTCGAAGACGCATCTGTTTGATTCTCAATTCCTGTCGAGCAAGAGCTTCACGGGCTTCCGTCTCGTAGCGTAATAATTCTAGCTCTTGCTGCTGAAACTCGTTCTCACGTTGCCACTTTAATTGCTCAAACGCCAGCTCCTTGGCGCGCAAAAACACGCGCTTCCGCTTTAAATTTGCTCGACCATCGGTGGTGAGTGATCGCTCAATAAGAGGTGGTAAAAGACCAATTGAAGGTCTTGCCTCATTGTCCGAGCTGCGCGGGCCATTACAAGAAACACTTGGTTCAGGAAGATCGATATCACTAAGACCATAGTCGCTCTCGCTCGTGCTGCGCTGACATCGTTCGGCTTGACTACGAGACAATAGCTGCTGTCGCTGCGAGACAGCCTGCGCAATGGCCGAGCGCAGAGCGTTCGGCACAGCAGTGTTTTGTGTCGACTTTTGACTACAAGAAGTTGAGTTCCGCCCTTTTGCAAGAGGATGCGGGACAGCATCTTTCGCTAGTCGTTTGCGCCGGGGGATTGCCGATGAACTGCTCTCAGGTTCAGCAGGTTTTGACGTCGAAGACTTTTGCTTGTTTTCGAATACTTTGGTAGGAGTCTTGCCACTTGGCGTATTCTTCTCGCTTACAGTAGGACCTCGTGAGCCATCAGAAGCAGCGTAGGTTGTTTGTGTCGTTTGCGTAAGCGTCACGTCCAACGCATCCTCTCTACAAGTCAACTCGGAAGCAGATTCCACACGTCGCAATTTCCTCTTACCAATCCACAGAGAAGCGTCATCGCTCCGATCTGTCGATTCCTCGAGAGACCTGGAAGCTCGCTTTTTTGATCGCGCTGATCTCCGTAATATCGGGAGCGTTTTATCTTCTTCTCCATCTGAGGATAGTACAATCAGACTAGACGCTGGGATCACCTTTTTTTCCTTCAGCGACTGTTTCTTGGACTTTCGGTGTTTCTTCGTTTGACTCTTTCCATCCTTTTCAGTCTTCTTGTTTTTCCCATTCTTTGTGGCTAGCATTAGCTCAGTCTCAGCCTCCTCGTTACTATTAAGGTTCTTCTTCTTTTTTTCTGTTGCTGTTGATTCACTAGAAGTCTTCACCTTCTTCTTCTTCTTTACAGTCCTAGTTTTCTTGGGCGTCACATCCTTCTTCTTCCTGCTCCCTTGAGTGTCCGATAAACTAGATTGCAACTGCACATCCGTCATCTGCTGCTCCTTGTTCTCTTCATTACACTGTGAATTCTTCTCATCTTGTCTCTCCTTCATTACAAATCTAGCGTGGAGCTGCTCAAGTCGCTGGAAATGCGGACACCTGGCGTTCAGTTTGTCCTGCACTGTCGTAATCTCACCCAGCTCGTCCTTCTCATACAAAGACGACTGTAAATTGGCAGTTGCCTCGACGGTAGATCTGTAGTCGAAAAGGTATTGTTTCAGCATCAGTCTCGTATATTTGGCGTCCAAATTGGCGTGAGGAATGCTCAAATTCACAAAACCCACGAGCTCGTCAAGCGCTTTACTCTTGGCTCGTGCAAGTTTGGCTCCGTCCTGATCAGTAGAGGGGGAAAGCGAAAGTATATTTGTTACCCGAAGAAAGTTATCGCCTTGCTCTAGCCACGTAATGATAGCATCATGAGGTTCCATCGTAACTGCGATATCGGATTGTGTCATTTGTAGCTCCTCAGACTTGTCCAGGGCATACAAAAAGCAAGTACAAGAGATTTTGGGTCCTGAAACGACGCAGTAAGTGGTGGAGCATTTTCTGACCAAGGTATCGAGGTCTATAATGAAAGAAACTGCATTGTACGAGAAGGTAAAGAAGTAGGTGGACATATTTAAACAGCAATTTAATGATAACATCGATATGTTTGTTGATGTAACGTCAAGTAAAGCCCTTCGCAAAGAACACGTGCGTGTTGAACCATATTGCGTTAAGAAATATGTAGCCCAAGCACGAGGATGCGACGAGAGTCTACAACTTCTTCTGGTCTTCAGCCATGACGTAAAAGGCGATTTAGACGCAACTCGAGCTCATAGTTGCAGTGATATGAGACTCGGACGAGTATGCAAAATACAAATGTTGCTTGATATTGTACCCAATTTTTCAGCCTAGTGCTCCCTCTTTCTGTTAGCACCCGCGGCCAGCAAAGCTACATACACATCCACAATCAGACGGCTTCATCTCTTCACAAGGGTGACGTGCATTGACTCGCTCACCACTTGTGGCGGGTTAATTCCAACGATAACCCGCAAATTAGTAGCCGTCCATGTCCGCGAGCTCGCGCTCAAGTATCTCCTTGTCACTGTTCATAGTCATCTCGTCTAGCTCGATGTCATCCACGTTCATATCAGAAGGACGGATCTTCGGACTGCCATGGGTCACACTGTGTTTGCGCATCTGGTGTAGCGCCGGCAAAAGGTCGGAACATTTGCGCGTCATACACTTCCTAACCTCAATGTCATCGGTAACACTGAAGGCAGACGCGCGCATCTCGTCCATCCACGGGTGGGCAAGAAGGCCCGAAGCGTCCAGACGTTTAGTGCGGTCCACTGTCAGCAGCTCCGATACCAAGTCCTTGGCCTCATCGGACACCTCATCCCAGTACGGTGACTCAAATTTGTACTCGGCCTTGACAACCTTGTTGAGCACCGTTGCGTGGTTGGCGCCAGGGAATGGTGGGTACCCGCACAGCAGGATAAACAAAATTACACCAAGGCTCCAGCAATCCACTTGGGCTCCGTATGGCTCACCCTGCACCACTTCTGGTGCTACATAGCCTGGGGTGCCGCAGGCAGTACCGCGTCGCGAGCCATCCATTGGCCTAGCAAAACCAAAGTCAGCGATCATCACCTCGGCACCAGGTGCTGAAGTCTTCAGTAAGATATTCTCAGGCTTCAGATCGCGGTGAACGATACCACGGGAGTGAATATACTCGATAGCACCTGCGAGCTTCCGCATGAGCACACGAGCATCCTCCTCCGTGTAACTCTTCCGCTTTACCAGATCACCAAAAAGCTCTCCGCCCGTACACAACGGGGTCACAATATAGTAGTATCTGTCTTCCTCGAAATAGTCCAGTAGTGGCACAATGTTCGGGTGCTTCAGACTGGACATAACTTCCACTTCTTGCTTCAGCGAGTGCACATTCTGTCGCCCCAAACTCGCCTTCGCAATGCACTTAACTGCGACCTGCTTACGTGTCTCGCGATGGGTCGCAATATGCACCACCGAGAACGCACCTGACCCAAGCTTTCGTCCAAGCTTGTAAAATCTGTGGAATGACGCCAAACCAACATTGTTCAGCGAGCGGTTGCTCTCATTCGAGTCGACACTGCCAGCCGAGTTCTGCCGCACATCATTAGGAGCGCGCAGCGTCGGTGCCTGGCTGCTCGGTTCCGGACCAGTTGAGGCCGTCTGCAGCGCCTTCATGATGTTAGCATAAGCCGTCTTCACGTGGGTCGTCCAGATATGCTCCGACTGTTCCAGTTTCGCTCCTCCCGCCGTGGCAATCAGCTTCTTAATGTACCCGCTGTTGGCACCGTCCTGCACTTCCCCCAACACTTGATCCAAGATGTAAATCATCTCATCCTCCTTCTTGCAGTCATGCATATCTCGAATCAAGTTTGCGAGTACAGGAAACTCCCGCTCAATCGTGCGTCCAGCCTGTGAAGCCGGGGACAAGGCAGCCGGGACACTTGACGTGGCTCCATTATCTCCTAAAACGATCACCGGTCTCGACGATGGCGCGCTGCCGACCACCTTCTGTCCGTAGCGATAATTGCTATACTCATTGTTAACAATATAGCTGAGAATGCCATGACCAAGCTTCGACGGACACTCTCCTTCAATCCAGCGTTGCAATTCACGAATCCACCGTTGTCGTTCCGCTTCTTTACTGGCTTGCAAGTAATACAACACCACCGGTCCATCATCGCTCCGTCTCGAGTCCAAATTGCTCTCTTTATGGTGTAAGAAGCAGTTGGTTCCCGTGCTGCTAAAAGAGACGGAATTCCTCGTCGTCCCTTCGTTGCTATTGGTTTCAAAGAGTCCCAACCGTCGTGATCGTTTACGTGCTACAATCACAAAACAATACGGATGTTTCTTAAAAGCATCCGTAGGCTCAACACGAATCACATCGGTCCTAATCACTTCCATCTTGAGTAATTTCTTCTCAAGCTGCGCCAAATCTTTCTCCTGTTGTTGCATACTGATTGTATATGGATTCTTCCGATACACTTGAAGAGCATGACGTGACAATATTAAATGACGTGGCAACCACGTCTTGAAAAACTGACTGCGTTTAATCAGCGTTCCACTCAAAATGACTTCATGTGCACAAGCAGCAGCATTCGCATTCATTCCTCCCGTGCTATTAAGCACTGTACGAACACTTTCAATAGTGCTCAGATGCTGGTACGAAGACAGTGCAGACGGCGTCATTGAGGCAGCCGGTAAATGCATTTGATGTCGTACGGGACTACGAAGTCGATCAGAATAGCCACCTCCAAGCTGCTGCTTGCGATTCTGACTAATAGACATGGGCATAGACGCACGAGATTGTTGAAGAATGAGAGCAGGTGGTGGCGTAGTCGAGTTGCAATTGATCGCCATCTCGCGTGGCGTCTTCATGACGCAAAGTACTACTGACTTTTTTCAGCGTTTTATTTTTTTCTACCAAAGAATTTAGAAAATGACGAGAATTTGTATCCTGTGAATTATGATAGTAAAAAAGGTGGAATGCCAGTTACTTGATATATGTATTAGTATTGAGAAGGCTGATGATGTATTAGTAATGGAAAATTCTGTGGCAAAGAAAAAACGATTACGATATTTTTATGAATGCGAACAGTTGACTGTGATAAAGCATATATCAAACCCATCGTTGGACGAATCAGACGAAGGGAAAGAGCAAAGACTATTTTATTGAGCCTACGCAACTTCATACACACTAGGGAGCTAGATACGCGATAGTCAGACGATACTACTGTTCTTACATTGTCGGGGTAGGGGTTGCGGCAATACTAACCCTGCCATATACAACTGTGTCACTTGCAGATGGCATTATCAGCAGACTTTGTGCGCACTTATTGAAGTGTCGAACCTATCACAAAATTTCTTCACATTGAAGTCGATTTGGCAGCTTTTTGTCCTCATCAGTTGACTGTAGTCAGTCACGCTATGTGCCGCCGAGGCAATTATAACTGGCTATTTGGTATGTGTCGTTGGGGATTTTTTACGCAATTTACATCGTGACGGCGAGTACAATTGAATTTTTGAGCCCAAGTTCAACCACCGCTCATGTACACTGAGACAACAGTGGTCTTTTTGAGCGTATATTGAGCTTATGATTAGTGAGGTGAACTTATTCTTGTGAAAGGTGACGGCGGACAATGTGCGCAGTAAGATGAAAAAAAGAATGATGGAGATTAATTGACATGTACGATGATCTCTTTGATTACACCATGTTTGAGTACTGGGTACAGCTTGAACTTTCTTGTCAGCGCCTTTGTGATTCATAATTGAGCACCAAGTAGGTTGCACCAGGGGCAGAGATACGTGTGTTTAATCATTTTGCAACGCTGTTTGACCTTAAAAAATGGGGTGAATTTCGGCTTGTCCGTTAATCGATCTCTAATATATAATATGTATGTATGTATGTGTGTCAATTCAATCATTTAATCATTTAATCATTGCTGCAAGCTCGCAGCAGCAATTTGTCACGCAGAGCTTCGATGCTATTAAAGTCCAATCCTTCACACCTAAGTTCAATAAACTTTAGGAACGGTGACACGTGCCCTAGTCGCGATACAAACCGTGTAAAACCACCTTCTTGTGCTTTAGTACCTCAGCATACCGCTGGCTTCTTTTAAGGGACCGGCATCGGACGTTAGAAGACGCTTGTATCGACACTTTTCAAACGGTAGTAAGCAGCCGGCTCCTGTCTATTTCGTGGTGTGACCTTTTATGAAAAGTCATGTGGTGATTAATCCTCATGTCTCTCTTTCTCTCTCTATATATATATATATTATCCAATCATTTGTCTTCACTCATCGTACGACCTTAAACTGCGCTGTCGTCTCTAAAAGGAGGTAGTGCCACATGGTGGACAGGCTCATGAATTTCATCAAGAAAATTCAAAAGGTAGATACGACTGCTTGTTGTGGGCAAACGGGTCTGCGGGTGAGGTCAAAAATATGAAAAAAGTTAGACGGGGCTGTGGCACTCATCAAGGTGTTCATTTAGTAAGGGAGCGACGTCATTACGCTTTCTTGTTGCAACTGTCCCGTGGGTTTCTTATTTTTTCCTGATTACAACGTAAGTGAGACTTTGAAATGGATGGTCATGGTTATTTCCTACGAACTAATACACGCAAATTTGAAGACTGTCTTGTTAACAAACAATATGATCTTACTTTCACAGGCTTCACCGCGACTCTATCGAATCAACTGTGACAAACACACCAAAGATGTGTTCTGTCCCCCTAGCACTTACTTTGCTGGATGGCACACACGATGATCATTGTCTGGCGCTCGAACGAGCAGTGATGCTGCTGATATCCTCCAGCGACGACGCCTATCGCGTAGCTTTTAATTGCTGTGATTTTATCATCTTCGCAAAAGCGATCATAATGATCCTCTTTTGCTTCTTTGTCAGCGGCAGTTCTCTTACAAGCTTTTTAAAGTGCTCTATATCCTTAACTGAATATCCATTCTTCTTAAAATAGTCGTCCAGCGATTCACTGCGGCGATTCTCGCGGTACGGATACATACGCGGCACAAACATCATGGATCCTCCTCCTCCATATAGTCCACCTCCGACGCGACCAACTCCACGACCACCTTTTCTCTCTTCATCTTCATCTTCTTCTTCCGGCTTCACACCATCTTCTGCCACGCCTCCTCTAAGGTTGCGGTGGCTTACATCCATTAGCTCACGTTGGGAGTCTGTCGTCGAACTCTTGACTTGAATCACGTTCTCCGCGCTCGTAAAAGTGCTACAATAAGCGATGGAGATGAGAGTCACGGGTAGGAGAAACTTGCTCAAGCGCATGGTCTTGTGGAGGTTTTTGTCCAATTCGGAAATGACCAATGACCTATTCTGAAGGAGGTATACAATCGTGTAGACGTGAAAATTTACGCGATGGGGATCCTGCCCAACAGACTTTGCAATTTTATTCAACGATCAGAACCTCCATAAGAACATCAAAAAAAGCCAGTTTGGTTTCTTACGTTTAAATATACGGTGCAGTCGCATGTGGTTGCGTCAAGAGTTCGGAGCTTTATGGATATTCAGGTGCCTTGCGTATGATTTGAACAAATGTGTACCTTTTGTCAGTAAGCTTGGGCCATTACCAGGTAGCAAGTGCCCACTCGAGCACCACCTTGTCTTTCTGTTGATGGATCACCAGTATAGGAAGCCGCTACAGTATAACCACAGATACTATTACTAGAGCCACAAACATTAATACTACGGGCATGCTGCAGATGAACGTCAGTGTCCCGTTTTGATGACAAACACCGCACGTTGGCGCCTTCCTCTTCCTTAAAGACATCCTTTTCACGAATATAAAGAAAGAAGGGTCTTGTCGCGTTGAAGTGTCGGCGCTCGTTCTGCTTGGCCTTCCTCTCGATTGAGAAACTGCCAATTCTTCGAGGTTTTGTAGTGTTAGCTAGTCTAAACGGCATTAGTACCTACTAAATGTCACCCTAAATATACCTGCAATAACTCGGTCAGTTCGTCCACTATCTTTCTTTCTGGTGTCGAGACATATTGCTGAAATTTTCTTGTAAAATGCTTCGAAAAAAGGAATGGTAAAGTTGTTGGAATCCGTTTGGCTCGGGATCGTAAAAATCGTTAAGCCCAGTCCACCATGATGCTAGATACTAAACTCGGCTGTAGCGGAGCTACACAGCTCTTAAGTCAGAGGAAGACTTTTTAGGCTGAAAGCCTCTTAGTTCTATAGAACTAATTAAAAGTTGACGGCTAAAAGCGACTTAGTTCTAAGGAACTAATTAAACAACTACAAAGTCATCGTTTTATAAGGAACTAGGAGGGACTTCTAGTCTACAAGCAATAGCCAAAATGTTCTGAAAACCAACGCACAGAGTGCAAAACCAAACTAGAAGCTTAGAGGTTCGAGGAACCAACGCAGGAAGCACAAGAGAAATAAGCCAATATCGGCTTTATCTTTACGACCTAAAAGGAGAACTGATTGTATTTATGCATCAAGATTTTTGTAAATAATCCTGCCCTAAGTATCCTACACTAGATTAATTATCATATAGTAATCATAGTTTGCCATTTCTGTTATTTATACACGGAATCATCCAATCATCAGTGTATGTTGTACTTAGTACGACTGTATCAGTTCTGAAACTGATACCGATAGTATAAGGTATAATTAATACCTAATAATATCACTAATCTATAATACCCCTTTTTAAAAAGATCGGTATCAAGAATACATACAACCGTGATGTACTTTCTCATATGATGGTACAACCGCCTTGTAACCCCGTTACACTCTCTTCCACCAGACTGACGTTCCCACAGAATGTCGTTCGACATCTTTCCTCTTTGAGGAAATGCTTTAGCAAACGTTAAACCTCACGGTTGTTGACGGCACACATGACGCCTCCCGGCACCGAGTCAAAGACTCTTTGGGATCTCCTTAAAGGAGATCTCAGCGAAGCGATTGATGACGAAAGTAACACTGTTTTCATGGGACCCTATGGGTCCCCTTTTTAACCACAATTGAGTGCGAAGATGACACTAGTCATGCAATGGATCCGTTCCCTGACCGTATTGCTGCGGATGCGCTAACAGCGTTCCGCGATCCGCCTGACGTATCGTCATTATTGATGGGATAGCCAATGAATGTAAAACATCAGAAGCAGTAATTAATATTCTAATATGACTATATTTTTACACAAAAAAATAAAAAAATACTACTGTGGCGAAAT